AGGATAAAAGAAAGCAACAATCAGTGGGTGACGATGGTTGATTGGTTGGTTCTATAGGCGATGGCGTTTCATCTGTAATTTGATCTTTTTTTGTCTTCTTAAAAATAGATTGGATTGTTGACATGGGATTCAAAAGTAATGATTTAATTTAGACATGGTAATTGACTTGGGTTGGATGGGTTTGGATTGCTTAAGGTTGAGGTTGTATTTTGACTTGGATTACTACAGGCTTGATCCAAACCAAAATTCAAATTCATCCGTTAAAAATTCAAATTTTCCCGTTCGTAAGATTCCAGATCAATTCGTGAGTTTGATAGTGTTTTTTTTTTCCTTAAGAAAAAAATTGACATATTTTTATAGATTAACATCTACATGTGTGTGAATTAAGAAAATCACTTTATAAATCTATGATAATTACAAAAAAAAATATATTTTTTATTGTAACGGTTTGATGTCAAAATTTGATTAAATAACACATTGTTAAACAAAAATAATATTATTCTCATAAAATAAAAATAAAAAATACAATAGTTAGTTTTAATCAAGCTTTCTCGCATGGAGCAGATATTATATTTTATTTTAAAGTCAAATAATAATAATATTAAGTAAACCACCTACTTTAAAACAAATTACTTGCGTACACAAAGTAGAATAACTATAAATATAAAAAGAGATAAGATATGACCAGATAAATTATATTGAAAAGTAAAAAAAGAAAGAAATTATGTTGTTTGTGTTTTTTTCTATTTTATTAGTAAGATTTGGAAAGTGAAGAATAATAACAATAAAAGACTTGAAATTGTATTTGTTACATGAGTAAACTTTAGGTTTTTTATGCTAAAAATGGTTGACCCACGAATTATCTATGTAGCGATCTTAACCTAATTCCTTACAAAAACTTCGTATAACCTAGTCGTTTTAGTTATAGAAAACTCAATTAATCAAAAAAATATCACTTAGGAATGTTAAAACCTCATATTAGAAAGATTATGATTTTTATTTTTTTTTTGCGGACAGAAGGTTACACGTACTGTATACTTGCTCGTGTAATTTAAAATCTCATTTTTCTTAGAAAACGAAGGTTACACGACCTCCCAAACACCCGTGTACCTTCTCGTGTATGTTTCGCCCAAAAAGAGGGCAATTCTTTGAAAACAAAAGGTTACACGATCTCCCACACGGCCTTGTACCTCCCCGTGTACGTTTCTATCCAAAACAAGGATTTTTCGACCATAACACTTCAAAACCTAATAAAAACAGTTCTTTTTCACTTATAACCCTTAGTATTCAATCAAAACCACTTTTTCTTTGTTCATAAACACGTCACAAAACACATCCAGGAGTTCATATTTACACGTTTACATATACAAATTTAAAAATCTCTTACGATGCATATGCTCGGCATAATGAGAGAGAGGAGAGGGAGATCGCCAGCTGACTCGTCACTCATGATGTGAATTGAACAACAAAATATGGCTTAACTTCCACTTCTTGCTTCTTAACACCTAAAAAGATAATTGTATTTTTAATGAGATGCTACTCAATGAGGGATATAATCTTGATGCTCTAACACACACATATGGATTTTCACATCATTAACCAAAAGCACATTCATGACACAAACATAAGTATTTATATAATTCATACATGTTCATATATCAAAATGCTTGTATGTATTATTTTCTTGTCGGTTATGACCAAAACACGTCAAGTATCGCCTCGAGAACTTGTAAGCTTATAAGCTTATAACCCGTAAACTTGTATGGCCGACCAGTTTGTATACTTGTATTTGACCCATTGGGTCCTTGTAACTTGTATTTGCGATTACTTGGACATGACAGTCATAATCTTATCCTTTTATCTTTCATACATCATGAATGCCCTATATAACTTGTATTTATACATAATGACATTCATAGCTCATAGCATGAATCATCAACACATGCTTGCACATAGCACTTTCAAAGCATCAAAACATAATTCATACACAAACATCGGTTCACCATATCATTCGGAAAAGTCAATAATATCACATGGCAACGCAAACACAGAGTATCAATCAATTATATCCACTCACAAAAAATGATGTCTTCATCGTTTGTCAACGCGTTACGTCTTGCATCTCACGCTCCTCGACGTCTATAAACACATACACATATACTTTTATAAGTCATTTTATCGTGATCAAACTTCTAAATATGCTCAAGGTGCAAAATATGACTTTAGGATTAATTTATTTCTTTATGGGTACTTGACTCCTTCGCACTCTTTCTATCACAAGTCCCAAAATACAGATTCAAATGATGCAATTCTAGTTTCATATGAAACTAGACTCATAGGGCTCTAACATATCAAAAAATCAAGTCTAGGTACGAAATACACAACTCATGGTGATTTTCTAAAAATCAGACTTGCTGCAGGATTCACCGAAAATCCGAACAGCTTACTTGTAAGAGATAAAACAAATGATATACTAGTTATCTTAAGCTTAAATTTAACAGGGTACTATTTCAATGTATTATCTACAACTTTCATGTTTTAACCTTCTTCAAAATCGGACTCAAAAATCTCAAATTAAGCAGTATAAAAAAATTGTTTCATGAGGTATATACCTAGCTTTCAGCTTACCTTGGAAAAACTGTGGTTTTTCCCTTCTTTTTCCCTTTTCTTTTCTCTCTTTTTTCTTTTCTCTCTCTGGTTCACTCCCGGTTTTTCCAGCCAGAGATTGCAAAATTGAAGATGAAGAGATGACTTGAGATACATATATATATATACCTTGGCAAAGTTCGTTTTATCCCTCGAAGTGTAGCTTGTTTTTATTATAGTCCTCCAATTTATATTACTTTAATTGAGCCCCTATTTCTTTCTATTATTCAAAATACTTATTATTCAATGCCCCACTAATATGCCATATGCAGATATAATTATATGCCTGTAATTCATAAATGTACATGTATGCATGAACGAGTGTATGTTTTTGGGATAGAGTTATTACAATCTACAAACCAGAGTTGATCCAATCCATAAATTTTGGGTTATTTTAGGTTTGGATCATGCTGTATTTTGTTCGTAAACATTAAAATTACGACTCTAATTTAGCGAACGGGTTTAGGTCGGATCATCTTTTGCCATCTTTAATTAAATTTGTATAAAAATTACTCATTCCATAGCCATTGAGATTCAATTCCAATCAAACGTGGCTTGGGAAAAGTTAAAATTTTGACAAGTTAAACATGTTTTAGTTTTTCAGTTCTAACATTAAGAGTACGTAGGAGAATATACAATGCTTTATCATTATTTTTTGCAGGAAAGTATCAAAATGCTTAGTCATTGATTTATTGAAAAAGAGAGAAAAACTAAAACCATAGATGCTGTGTAATTGTAAGTTTTTAGTAGTTTAATATTATTTGCCAACTATATACGCCATGGACTTTGAGTATTTGAATTTTCGCATGCATGTAAAAACAATGATGAACTCTTTTTTATTGCCATTATATATATATATAAAAAAAACGCTTAGTTATTTAATTTATAAGTTAAAAAATGTTTCTGAAAATAAAAAGCAATGCAGTATAACGAATAGTTTTTTAGCGAATCTACCATGAATAAAAACAATGACAGTGATGCACTTTAATGCAATTTTTTTATATCTATACTATCTGTGTACACAGTATGGAACTTGTTTGAAATGTTTCACTATACAAAAAATTGAGTAAATTATAAATTAGTCCCTGTAGTTTTAAGAAATAAATTAACTAATCTTCTTATTTTAAAAATTATTATTTAATTATTTAATTAGTGTTGACCATATTTAATTTAATATTATTTTTATTTAAAAAATCTTTTATTTTCTAATCAATTTTTCATTTTTTTATATTTATTAAAAATAATCAAAATAAATTAAAAAAATTAAATTTAAAATATATATATTAAATAATTAATTTTTAAAACGAGAGTGATTAATTTATAATTTACTCCTTTTTATAGAGTAATTACAAATAAATTTAATGCAATTTTTTATGGTCTACATTACCTGCGTATACACTATTTGAACTTGTTTGAAAATTTTCTCTATACAAATAATTGCTTTTCATATGTGTAAATTATAAATTAATCCATCTGGTTTTAAGAAATACATTACTTAACCTTTCTTATTTTAAAAATTATTATTTAATTTTTTAATTAGTATTGATTGTGTTTAATTTAATATTATTTTTATTTCATAATTTTTTTTATTTTCTCATCAATCTTTTCATATTTTTTTAATTAATCAACATAAATTAAAAAAATAAAAAACTAAATTATAAGCAGATTTTAAACTATAAAATACTCGTTTATAATTTACTTATTTTCATAAAGTAATTACAAATAACCGAAGTGATAGCAGCATCTCAGTTAGTTTTAGGAAAAATGATATAAAAAAGGATTTTCATCTGGACAGACGGATTAGCTGATCGTTTTATCCGATTTTTTTATTATTGTTATTGTATTGGGAGTTCAAACAGGGTCGGTATTTTCGGTTTCCACGGCTTTGCCATATTCCCGCCGGAGCAGCGCTTCCTTCAGGTTCACGTGGACACATCAAATCGCAATTGCCCAATTACATGTCTCGTCTCTTGACTAAACAACATCCAAGCTTCCCAAAACATTAAATCCAAGCAGAGATTAAAAAAGTCTGCCATCTGTAATTGGTGTTTCAGAGGACTACGATGCTGTAAACTTGTACTCGAGGATGGGTGGTGATGCGCTAATATTCTATAGGTTAATACATCTACGACTTTTACTGAAACAATCTTAACAATTAGGCTTACGAAATTAACTAATTAATGCATTGGCATTTTGGGTATAAAGATCATGCAATAATAGGGCTACTCTACATCTAAGAAAAGGAATCGTTTTTTTTTTTTCCATCAATGCGAAAAGAACTCTATCTACTGCTTTGAGTAATCTTGATATGAAATGCTAGATTTACCTTCTTCTTCTTCTTCTTCTTCTCTTCTATGATAAGCTGCTTCGACTCAAGCTCGCTGGGCCTGGGGCAGGTAAATCCTGGATGGATATTTTGTCAACTCAAGCAGCTTCCTTGTGGGGATACGTACGTATACTCTACACGTGGGCTTGTAAGAATAAGGAAGAGGGTTTTTAGCGAGGAGTACAGCCATCATTGCGCAAATGGCTACCCCACTTTTTTAGCCATTACGGGACACCCTTGTGAGTTAAATGCTGGATTTACTTCAAGGAATATGCCCCTAAAAATGACATTTCTTCTGTCGTTTTAGTTGCTTAATCTCGAGGGCTTGCATTTTGCGATCGATGTTATGTATGGTCCATATTATGGTTGGTCAGCCTTTTGACCGGAATGGATGGCATTCCATCTCTAAGCGTGGATGGAGCCATTCTGTTCGCTTTTGGTATAGCAGGAGTCGACGTCAACCAGCATGCAGGTCTTGACATAATTGGTACTGATTATATTGTTTTAGCCACTACCGTCCTAAATTTTTTTTATGCCAACTGAGTTCTGTAATGATAAAAACGCTGCGCAGGCATGGCCAGTTCATGATTTCAAGCCAAATTTATATGGTGAACCGAATTTGTATAACAATTCCTCCTATAATCACTCATTCTCCACCCTTCATATCCACATCGTGGTAAATAAATAATATTTGGACGCTGATTCACGCATGCATTTGAAACGAGGATCATAGTAAATTTTTAAGCAAATTTCAAGTAGTGTTATTGATTAAGAAAAAGGAAAAAGGTCGCCATTTATTTTCAATTGCTTAAAAGGAGTTCTCGTTTGGTTTGTCTCGTGACATCCCATTTAAATCACTGTGATCTCAACATTTTTGGTTATCTCACCGAAAAAAAAAAAAAACTTGTTTTAGAACGAAAAAGGAAAATTTTTAAGAACGGGGTGGTATAATTATAAAGGATTACGAATCACCGAGATAAGATTTGCAATATAATAAAGAAGTAGTGCCATTTTAGTTTCTGAGATAATAAAGTATTTATTTATTTATTTATTCGACGTTATCTATATTCAATGGCAATGATAACCAAAAAAAAAATGGTTGTAATTAATTAATTACAATATGGTAAGATGAAATTTCATAGCAATATAGATAACAAATTGTAACATTAAAGTTAAATAATATTTTTTCTATTTTTAAAGTAATCATGGTTATTATATTGCAATTGTATTACATTACTTACATTTTTTTTACGATAAGATGAGTAAATATATTTGACAATTAGTAACTTAATTTTTTTTAATAAAGATATTTTTGAGTCAGCTTACATTTCAATTAAGACTGATTTTCTTAAAAACGATCTTAAAAACACACATTCGCATGAATCCAGTGCATTTAGGAATTTTTTTATAATTTCTCCTAAATATTCGCCTCGATATAAGAACTAAGGAAGTTAAGAAAATAAATAAACTTTCTTAACCACAAAGACAAACCTTCAAAATCAATAACTTATAAATTAAAAGACACTTAAAGTTGATATTTTATATAAAAAAAAAACATACATATGATGAGAGATAACAATTCTATATCTCATTTTTATGGTACTACTGTTTTTAAATTAAAAAATACATAAATAATTTATTTTGGTCCGGAAGATTACATCATCTATCAAAGATCATTGGATGAGTGGTACAATTTATTATTACATAATAAAATAACTCTTTAATTTATTTTATATCTCTAATTGAGTTAATTTTATCATATATTTAAGATAAAAAGTTTTTATATGCAAGTTATGAGAGTAATTTAATTAGACAAATATTACTATGCAAATCTTGCTAGAAAAATAAATCAGACATGTAGTATATATTAGGAATAAAACTAATTTAATTAAGAATATCAGAATATATTAAGAAATCATTTTATTATATAAGGAGATATTGAATTATTGACCAAGTATTATTTCCAGATTTCCAATGTTGCCATGTATGGCAATTCAGAATTTAAAACCTGCCCCCCATGCCTGCCACGTGTATCTTGCCATCTTCATGCCTCGAAGGCTAAACTCGTCATCACGAGAAAACCTCCAGTTCCAGGCTTCCAGCGCGTGAATTCACTCTAATGTCTCTCGTAAACACCTGCCAAAATCTAGGGCGTTTCCGTTAAAAACCCAAAGAAAACATTGCGGGGGCCAAAGTGAGAAAAACTGAAAAGCTAAAGCTTTGATTGACAAAATAAAATAAAATAAAATAAAATAAAAGCCCGTGAATAAATAAAATAAAGAGGGACATTCACTAATCAATCAATAATTAATTTAGAAACTAATCTTTAAAAAAAGAAAGAAACTAGACAATATTTTAAAGACCAACTTGCTAATTGTTAAGTTAATTTCCTATGTTGCTAAATAATTGTCCGGCCATCAAAGATAATTATCCTTCTTTTAATTTTTGAATTTCAATATTAATGCTAACATTTTTAGAATAATTTATGTATAAAATCGAAATTAGTATGGTGTATGAATATTTAAGACGAAAAGAATTTATGTTATATTTAATATCACATTTAATTTTTTTTAACTTTTGACTCAAATAAAAAAAATTGATTAGAAATAATTTTTAATTAAATTAAAAATTTATTATAAAATCGAATCAAACTTTTGAGGTAATCAAAAGTTATTTTTAAAATTTTAATTTATAGATTATAATTTTTATTATATTATATATATATAATATTTTTTTAAATGATTTTATTCATTTTACTAAACATACTTTCAACTTAAATTTATTTTTATCTTAAATTGTTGGTAAAAATTAATGTTAAATTATGACTTAAAGTTCGGATTCATAATCCAAAAATCACAAAAAACAATATTTTGGCTGAATAAAAAATTAAGAATACCTTCACAATGCGAAAAAAAAGGCCACAAAAAGAAATAAATTATAAATTAATTCCTCTATTTGTTAAAAATCGAAATAATTATTTATTTTTCAAAATTTAATTATTTAATCTTTTTAATTAATATTAATCATGATTAATTTAATATTTTTTATTTTATAAAATATTTTATCTTATCATCAGTCTTTCATAATCTTTACTTATTTTTTATTTTTTAAAATAAAATAAATTAAAAAATAATAAAAAAATCAAATAATTAAATTTTAAAATTAAATAATTAATTAATTCCTTTATCAAAATAAGAGAGACTAATTTATAATTTACTCCCACAAAAAGTTACCACAATCCACAAAACAAGATTTTTTTTTGGGTACCGGGAAGCAAAATTACTCGCACAATATTTTTTAATTTATATTTATTTTAATAGCGGACGCGAAAGAAGAATGAATTATGATTTAATAGCGCCGTTGAGATACGGATGCCACTCTCTCTCTTCTCTCTTTCTCTCTCTCTCAAGGCTCTCTCTGTCCCTTATCGTCTCAAAAGGAAAAAGAAAAGGGAAAAATTTCTCTTCTCCTCTCTTCTTTTCTCCCACAGATTTTCCCTGTTATTTTTTTCTCCAACCAAACAACAGCAGAAATATTCAAATCCCAAATCTCCATGGCCTTGCCATCCTCTATTATCTCCTCCGATCCAAAACCCTAACTTTCACCAACTGCCAATCAATTTTCCTCCTCTCCTTTTTTCTCAGGTTTGTTTTTTTATTTTTATAAAGTTCTTAATCTTTAATCGATTTAGTAGTTAATAACACCATGGACTTGGTGCTTTTTTTGGATTTGCACAGAATTCTAACAACAACAACAACAATAATAGTAGTAGTTATGATAGTAACAATAATTTGTTGTTTTAGGTTATTGGAGGCCTAATTTAGGTTCCGTGGATTCTAGTAGGTGCCGTTTTATGAGGTTGCCAGGGCGGCAGCTTATTCGATCTGTTTATTTGAGGATTTGTATTTGGAGCGGCGCAGGTGGAAAAGAGTTGGCGGCGCATGTGAGATAGGTGGATTAGATTAGGGTTAGGGTTTTTGTTTTGTTAGTTTTGATGCCGCCAGAGCCATTGCCGTGGGATCGGAAGGACTTCTTTAAGGAGAGGAAGCACGAGAGGTCCGAAACGACATCTTCTTCTTTTGGTGGTGGGTCTACGCCGCGATGGAGGGAATTTTCTTACGCATCTTCGAATCATTATGGATCCTATCGTGATTTCAATCGTTGGGGTCCCCACGACTTTCGCAGGCCTCCTGGTGAGTTTTCTTTGTTTCTTTTACTTTCTCTACTGCTGTCTGCAGTTTACTTTTTAGAAGAGATTTAATCTAGGGTTTCTGTGGATTTTGAGGAATAGGCCATTACTCTGATTTTAGGTATTTGTATTCTTTTTTTGGTGAAAAATTTAATGGGTGTTGAGGTGACGAGTATGTAGTGTTCTAATTTTTCTTTTTGTACTTTATTGTTTCTTATCGCACTTTTTATGGACAGATCCGGGTTGGTGGGTTTTTGTTGTTATTAGGATTTGTTAGGTTCATCTTTTAATTATTGTTTTGCTAGATCGGAACTTTTTTGCTCTGGGGTATTTGTTTTCTTTTCATGGTTCTTTGTCTTTTTTGTTGCGGATACATGCTTTACTTGTGTTAATTACGTGTTCTTCCCTCTTCTTCCTTTGAATGTCATGTGAAGGTCATGTTAAGCAGGGTGGTTGGCACATGCTTGCTGAAGAATCTGGTCACATGTATGCACCATATAGGTCCTGTGACAAGATCCTGGAAGAAGAGAATTGCAGGACATATTCGCGTGGAGATGGAAGATATGGCCGGAACAATAGGGAAAGCAGGGGGTATTTCAGCCAGAGAGATTGGAGAGGTGGTCATTCATGGGAAATGAGCAACGGGTCTCCAAATATGTCTGGGAGGCAGCATGATGTGAGTAATGATCCGAGGTCAGTTGATGAAATGCTAATGTATCCCCCTCTCATCCTGCTCATTCTGACTTTGTTAACTCATGGGATCAGCATCAATTGAAAGACCAGGACGATAATATTAAGATGGGTGGTGTCAATGGGTTGGGCACAGGCCAAAGAGGTGATAGGGAGAACCCACTTGATTGGAAGCCTCTTAAATGGACCCGCTCTGGAAGCTTGTCTTCTCGAGGGTCTGGTTTTAGTCATTCAAGTAGTTCGAAGAGCCTTGGTGGTGCAGATTCTATTGAAGGAAAGGCTGAGTTGCAGCCGAAGAATGCCACTCCACTCGAGTCTCCTTCAGGGGATGTTGCTGCCTGTGTTACTTCTGCAGCACCATCTGAAGAGATGTCTTTGAGGAAGAAGGCACGCCTTGGGTGGGGTGAGGGGCTGGCAAAGTATGAGAAGAAGAAAGTTGAAGGCCCAGAGGCAAGTGGGAGCAAAGATGGAGCTGTTGTTTCTGCTAGTAACATAGAGTCCATTCATTCTCAAACTTCGAACTTGGCAGAAAAGAGCCCCAGAGTCATGGGCTTTTCGGATTGTGCATCTCCTGCAACGCCTTCCTCTGTTGCTTGTAGTTCTTCGCCAGGTAATTGTTCATTTCCTTGCAATTTTTCTGTTAAGCTGTTTTGTATAATTATACCTTATAAGTTGCTCGTGTGGCATGAAAATCTGACTCATTCACATGGTTCCTAATCTTAAGCGATATGTTGGTAGTATTCATTTAATTGTCTTTTTGTTGCTGCTATTATTTGGTTTATTATTTGATGCCTAGTATCGCTGAATATGTATGCATTTAGAATAGTGAATTGCCATGGTGCAAGAATTCATTATTCACATTGAGTAAAGTTTCTGGTATCCTATTCTAGTTCTTCATGCCTGATAACTTGAACTACTGTCATACACATTTTGGTGCAAGAACATTGCATTGTTAATTTATTCTGGAAACATTTTACGGGACCTTTCTAGATTTCCTCCCAGTGGTGGAAAGTTTGCTGTGTATGCTCCAAAATACTATTCTTCGTTTAAAAAAGAAAACAATGTTTGATGCTGCATGCTAGGTACTGTTCTTTTTTGTGAAAGTTAATGCAACTTATTTTTTAATAAGCTCTCTTCTCTCTTCTTTTTTTTTTTTGTGCCTTAAAAAGGATTCTAAGTTATTGCCTCTATGTTACAGGTTTAGAGGAGAAAACATTTGTGAAGTCGACAAATGCTGATAATGTTGGTAGTAATTTATGTGGTTCACCTAGTGTGGGTTCTCAAAGTCATACTGAGGGTTTATCTTTTAATTTGGAGAAGATGGACGTTGGTTCTATAGCTAATCTGGAAACTTCTCTTGCTGAACTGCTTCAGTGTGACTATCCAAGTTCTGTAGACTCTGGTTTTGTGAGGTCTACTGCAATGAATAAGCTGCTTGTATGGAAAGGTGACATATCAAAGGTATTGGAATTGACAGAATCTGAAATTGATTCTCTTGAAAATGAACTCAAGTCCATGAAATTTGAACCTGGAAGCAGGTGTCCCTGTCCAGCAGCATCTGGTCCTCCTCCATTTGAGTGTGATGCAAAACCTTGCAATGCACAGGGGGTTTCCTCTAACAGTGTCCCTCGACCTTCGCCCTTGCAAGTTGCATCTTGCGGCAATGAAATTGTGGAGAAGGTTTCTTTTTGCAATGGTGGGTTGGAAGAAGTACATGCTGATGCCAAGGACGATGATATTGATAGTCCTGGAACTGCTACATCTAAACTTGTTGAACCACTATCTTTGGTGAGGGCAGAATCATCGACTGTTGCTGTGAAAGATGATTTTGATGCTGTTCAGTCTGCGAGGATGGATTTGAAAGGCCTAGTTCCCTGCGGTGCTGAGGAAGAGACTGGTGTATTTGCTTGCAAGAATGATGTACCTTCTTTTGGTGATGTGATTTCAGATACAAATGGAGAAGATAATGTACGTAATCTTATACTGGCTTCCAATATAGAATCTGCTAGGAGAGCATCTGAAGTATTTAACAAGTTACTGCCTAGTGATCGGTGTAAGTTTGATTTTTCGGGTGTTACCAGTGAATCCTCTTGGCAGAGTGATGCCTTAGTTGTGGAAAAATTTGCCATGAGGAAGCGGTTACTGAGATTTAAGGAGAGAGCTGTAACCCTTAAGTTTAAAGCCTTTCAGCATCTGTGGAAGGAAGATATGCGACTGCTTTCTATAAGGAAATACCGGGCCAAGTCTCAGAAGAAATGGGAACTAAGCTTGCGGACAACTCATAGTGGGTATCAAAAACATCGATCTTCCATTCGTGCTCGATTCTCTTCTCCTGGTAAGGCTAATAAGTTCAATCAATTCTTTTTTCATAAGTGGCTGTGGTTTTTCTGATTGAACTTGTTATCACATTAGTAAATTGTGGAAAAAGGTGCTTTATTCTTTGATTATTTGGAACCGCCATAGGTTACTGTGCAAGTTTGGATCCATTCTCGATTGAAAATTTTAAGCTAACTGATCTGCAGGGAGACCTTTAGCTTTCCATTTGATGAAGTGACAAAGCACATGTTTACCAGGTCATAATATTGCGGTGTTTCTGTACCATGCAATGAATTTTGCAAACATACGTGTTATTATTCATGTCCCTTGTTATGGGTTGGGTGATCTATAAGCTGAGAACTCTCTCTGTACTTGTGCCATTGACTTTCTTGTTTTATGCCATGAAGTCAGATGGCCTCAAAGAGTTTTGATGGCTGGAAATGATGTGTAATTGGAGTTTGCTTTTGCTACTCCATCTCAATTGGATGTGGCTATTTGAGACCCTGTTTTTTCGTATAGATTAGTTACACTATAGAACACATGGAACTGGAGTATTGGAGATAGTCAATTGACGTTATGGGTGGCAATAAAACTTTGAGTACTTGCCAATGCATAGAACAGGAGTTATTTACTACTGAAATTTAAGTTTTAGAATGAATAGTTTTGCTTGACATCCTTCCTGGCACCAGTTCTACCTTGTGGAGTATTTGTATCTCATTCTTGATTGGCAACTGTTGTAGCGGAGAGCTTTTGTGTGTAGTCAGTGACAAAATGTCTGCTTGAAAAGATTTGGTTTGCAAATGCTCTCTGAACATTTAATTGGTTGTGTGCTAGAGTTCTCTTGAACTGTATAGTTTCTGTGCATCTGTGAAATTTGATCTCTGAACTAGGCACATTATGATCAAATAATTGCTATACAATCAGCAAATGTCTGGATACTGCGAGAGTCAGTATGGGAGGGCTTTATATATTTGGATAGCCTCCTCCTTCCATAGGGCACTATGTAGCTCTAATCTTATACACTGGATCAGAATGTAGAGATTTTGATGTCTGATTGTTGGGATAACTGTGGTGTAACTCAGGTTTTTTGTGGCATGCATGTAGTATAACCTTTACATGGTAGGTTGAAATGGATGCTGCTCCATTGTCTTATCAGGAAAGGGGATTGGCTGATTTTTTCTTTGACCTGGTAGGCTGGTAGCTTATAAATTAACTAGTGTTGTTGGGATTATTTTGGTCAAGGGAGATGATGGTCATTCTTCTCCTGCTATAAAAAGTTAAAAAGCGATCTAAGTCTAATTTGTGACATTACATCTGTTGTGTTTTGGGATTGGGTCACAGTAAGTGTTATGTTGCAGATTTTGGCAAGTAGTGTCAATTGATTTCAGTGTCCCTGCCCCTCGTCTTTTGTTATATATGGTATGAAAATGTAATTTTGCCAGAGTTGACTAACTCTTTATTTTGGAGAAAGAGCCATTTGATTTTTGAACTGTGAGGATTTTACTTGCTTGCTTAGGTATTCTGAGTTCAAAATATGATAAAAATGTTTCTTAATTGTTGTCTTAAATTATAAGATTTATCTGGTTGTTGAATTATAAATTTTGTTTCAATATTTGCAGCTGGAAATTTGAGCCTGGTCCCTACAACGGAGATACTTAACTTCACAAGCAAGCTGCTTTCGGATTCTCAGGTCAAGCTTTACAGGAGTGCTTTGAAGATGCCGGCATTAATTTTGGACAGGAAAGAGAAGATAGCATCACGGTTTATCTCTAGTAATGGATTGGTTGAAGATCCTTGTGCCGTTGAGAAGGAGAAAGCAATGATCAATCCCTGGACTTCTGATGAGAGAGAAATTTTCATGGATAAGCTAGCAACTTTTGGGAAGGATTTCCGAAAAATTGCTTCTTTTCTTGACCACAAGTCAACTGCAGACTGTGTTGAATTCTACTACAAAAATCACAAATCTGATTGTTTTGAAAAAACCAAGAAGAGTAAGCAAATTAAATCTTCCACTAACTACTTGGTGGCGTCAAGTACAAAATGGAATCGTGAATTGAATGCTGCTTCACTTGATATTTTGGGTACGGCTTCACTGATGGCAGCTGATGCTGACCATGCAATGAACAGTCGGCGGTTATGCTCTAGTAGAATCTATTCGAGAAGCTACCGTAATTCTAAAATAACAGAAGGTGATGATGGTATTTTAGAAAGAACAAGCAGTTTTGATGTCCTTGGGAATGAAAGAGAGACTGTTGCTGCTGATGTTTTAGCAGGTATATGCGGTTCAATGTCCTCAGAGGCCATGAGTTCTTGTATCACCACTGCTGTTGATCTTGTAGAGGGTTATCGAGAACGGAAGTGCCAAAAGGTGAATTCTGTTGCAAAACCAACTTCGACATCTGACGTTATGCAGAATTTTGATGAAGAGACGTGCTCAGATGAGAGTTGTGGGGAGATGGATCCTACTGATTGGACGGATGAGGAAAAGTCCATCTTTATACAAGCTGTGTCAACCTATGGTAAGGATTTTGCGACAATCTCCCGTGTTGTCAGGACAAGAACTAGGGATCAGTGCAAGGTGTTTTTTAGCAAGGCCCGAAAGTGTCTTGGACTAGATTTCATGCATCCTGAGCCCAGAAATTTCGGAACGCCAGTTAGTGACGATGGAAACGGAGGTGGGAGTGACACTGAAGATGCTTGTGCCATTGAGACTGGATCAGCTATTTGTAGTGATAAGTTGAACTCTAAGATTGATGAGGACTTGCCATCTTCGGTCATGAATACAGAGCATGATGAATCTGGTGCAGAGGAGATGATGAGATTGCATGCAGACCTGAATGGAACTGAAGAGAATAATGCATCTGGGATATTAGATCAGAATGATTCCAAGGTTGTAGATAAGATGGTTTCTGATCCATGTGAGGCAGGGCAGAGGGCTGATCTTGACAGCAAATTCATGAATGCTGTTCATCAGCCAGAGTGTGTTCAGGCAGAGAAAATGTTGATTGTGTCAGCTAATGCAGAATCTGGAAGAGATCAAGTTGCTGAGAAGAGTATTTCTGTTGTCGAAACAGGGTCTGTGATAGGTGCACTTGATGCCAGCACATCCAATGCAAATGCTGCAATTGAGCTGAAAGCTGCAGCTGAGGTTTCTGGTAATCGAATGGAAAATAGTTTCACTGCATTAGAATCTGTGGAAAAGCCTCCTGTCATCTCATTGCCTCAGGAGAAAAATCTTGCTGTTACAAATCCCTTGTTACAAGATTCAGCTGTCGTCCAATATAAGAAAAAACATGAACAGGATACAATTCAGGAGAGTAGAGACAAGCAGGGTAAAAGTTCTGTTAGTAGAGACGACTACTTCCAGCATCTGTCGGGTCATCCTCTGTCAAGTCATAAGGAAACCTCCCAGATTCTCAGGGGTTATACGCTGCAAATTCCTACAAAGAAAGAGATGAAAGGGGATATTTCTTGTAGACCTTTTTCTGAAGCTCAAAGCCTGCCGAACTCAGAAAAAACTGTCACCAGCCAGTTTGAAGCTCAGGATAGCTATCTTCAAAAGTGCAGCAGTTCGAAAGTTGAGCATTTGGTTCCTGAGCTTCCATTCCTGTCCCAACGTTCTGGACATGGAAGCGATCATCCAAGAGATCATTCTTGTAGTTCATCAGATATGGAAAAACCATGCAGGAATGGTGATGTCAAACTGTTTGGTAAAATACTCACTAACCCCTTGCAAAAGCAGAATTCTAGTGGCCATGAGAATGGTGAAAAAGAGGTCCAGCATCATAAGCCCACAAGCAAGTCAGCAACTTTTAAATTTACTGGTCATCACCCTACGGAGGGTAATGTGGCTCAGTTGAAGTGTGATCGTAATAATCAGCTTGGCCTGGAGAATGTTCCTATGAGGAGCTATGGTTTCTGGGATGGGAACAGAATACAGACTGGTTTTCAAGCTATACCTGATTCGGCTGCTTTACTGGCCAAGTATCCTGCTGCATTTAGCAGTTACCACGTGCCATCATCCAAAATGCCACAGCAGATATTGCAAGCTGCTGTCAAGAGTAATGAGTGTAATCTGAATGGGTTGCCTGTTTTTCCTTCAAGGGAAGTAAGTGGGAGCAATGGAGTGGTGGATTATCAAATGTACAGAAGTCCTGACAGTGCAGGAGGGCTGCCATTCGCGGTAGATTTGAAGCAGCGGGAGGATATATTTGCTGAGATGCAGAGACTGAATGGACAGCAAGCAAGGGGGATGGTAGGGATGAATGTCGCAGGAAGAGCAGGGATTCTTGTAGGGGGACCATGCACAGTTTCAGATCCTGTGGCGGCCATTAAGAGGCACTATGCCAAAGCTGATCAGTATGGCGGGCAAAGTGGAATTGTCTTCAGAGAAGAAGAACCTTGGAGAGGTAAGGGGGACATAGGCAGGTAGTAGGAGTGTTAAAAGAGGGCATCTTTAGGACGCTCTCGGTGGCAAATTCTTCCTTTGCCGCGCTTTGTATCATAGTTCTTGTATTTTTCAATGGAATGATAGGGCAGCAGACGGTTTCTCAATCCCGTCTTTTTGGTAAAGTTATTTTAGGTGCCTGTAATATTGCAGCTATTTGTTGTATTTGGTGGAAAAATTCCAAAATAATCCGTTGTTAGGAAGGGCGACATCAGTGCCCCTTCTTTCGAAAAGGCTGAAAATCATTAATTGCCCTTCTCCATCCGTTGTTGTATCGACCCTCATATCTTGTTTCGTTCCACAGCAAAACCATTCCAACGGCATGTTCGTTTTGGTTCACCAAACCATTTAACGGTCGAACGTAGTAAACAATATATTTTAGTGGTTTATTGAATTCCTATGTTGAGTTGTGTAATTCTTAAAATTATAACGTAATGGATCGTTAAAATTGAAACGATTCGATTCATTTCAAAAAAGTTAATAATAAGATTGGATTATTGTGAATTCTGTAGATTATAAGGATAAAAAAAATTTAAATAAAGACCAATCTGTAAATAAAAATAAAATATAGTGATTAAAATATGTTTTCAAAAAATTCACAGCGATCAAAACGAAACTTTGTCAATGCCTGCATTACTAAAAGTTTGTTTTAATTTAGTTCATTGATCTGGATATTTACTAAAAGTGCAACCAAACGAAAATTTTTTCTTTTTAATAAACAAGATCGAGATAAGAGATATTATGTTTTTAAAATTAATAAAAAATAATATAATTTTAATTGACGTGCAAACAGATTTAAAGTTTTTTTAATAATAAAGTGTGCTCATAATTAAAAAAAAAAAAATTTACGCTACAAGCCCAATAACAAAGATCCAGTCCAACTTACACAGCAAAGGCCACAGTCAGTCTGCAAATTCCACCGGTCTTCATCAACGAATAAAGGGAAGAGAAACCGTAGCCCTATCAAGCGGAAGCGCAAAAATCAAATTCGAACATCGTGTCAACCCGAGAAATCAAAATCCTCAACTCCGCAACCACAATCTCCTCTCCTTTACTACCGCTGCTCTCCGTCATCAAATGGGTGTTCTGTTTAGGAGAAAAGAAAACACCAAAAAACTATTCTGTAGGAAAAAAGGAAACATCAAAGAGTGTTTTATTTAGAAAAAAAAATGAAGACATCAAAGAGAGTTCTGTTTAGGAAAAAGGAAATCCAGTGCTTCTATATATGATTACGAGATATAATTTTGTAGCAGAGGAAATCAATGGCAACTACTGCTCTTATCTGCAAGCCCATCCTCGGTTCTTGCAGTCGCAGAATCGACCATGCCTCTCCATCGTCTGATCTGCGTAAGCGGCCAAACTATCTCACTCAGATCTCCTTCCCATTACAGCTTACAAAGAATGTCCCAAAACTCCGTCACTCACTTTTTCTCCGCAAATTCTATTAGTCTAGACTAGTTAATTTTCTAGCATTTGAATTCAGGTTTTCTGAATTCGAATATATATATATCCATATATACACGGAAAAGAGAGAAAAGAAGACTTATTAAAGTTGTTATTCATTCAGCAAAAAGTCAGGAAGAGAAGAAGTATCATACGTCACTGCTGCATTTATACAAAACTTAACTGGAAACAAACACCATAATTAATTTAACCAACCAACTCATTAAAAACTAATTAATTGTACACGTGGCATATCTTGTAAGCTGATACTCCCCTCTCAAAACGAGTATGGATGTTGTTCATATTTATCTTGTTAACCATATCATGAAAAATCCTATGTTGTAAAACCTTGGTAAAAACATCAGCAGTTTGTTGATCAGTGGGCAGATAGTAAGGCCGAATAAGACCAGAAAAAGATTTTTTGCGAATGAAGTGACAATAAGTTTCAATATGTTTGTTCCTTTCAAGAAAACCTTAGTATAAATTAAATTTTTGCAAAAATGCAAAGTGCATTGATTATCATAAAAGAGTAGAGTTGGCATAGAAGGTGTATTGCAACAAAGATAACAAAGATCAAGAGCTACATAATTTCACATGTAACAAGCTGTTATAGCTACGTATTCTATTTTTGTGTTATTACGAGTCATCAAACTTTACTTCTTAGATTTCCAACTAATTAAAGAACTTTTCAAAAATACACGAATCCGAAATTGATTTTCTCGTTCTAGGACAAGTCAATTTCGAGAATGTTTTTAATTGAAGAGTTGACTTGATTAGGAATAACAAACCTTGTACAAATACTTGAGCATCTTATGAGTTGCTTGTAAATGAACCAAAACTAGTTTTTTCATAAATTAAGTAAGAACATGTACTGCATAACAAATGTCAAGTACAAAAATTTACCCATTAAGTAGGATGCATAAGAGTAGAGATAGGTTTATAGTTAGAGAAACCATGCTCATCCAACGAGTTTCAAAACATATTTTCTCTGATAGATAGCAATTATTTTTGGTGATCTAGTCACTTAAATGCTTATGAAATACTTAAGTGGATCAAGATCTTAAGTTTAAATTTCATGCTAAGGAATTACTTAAGATCGGCTATGTCGAATTAGAACTATTAGCAATCACTATATCATTAACATAAACCAACATAGTAAGGAATTTTTGTGAAATGGCATGCATTGTGAATAAAGAGTAATCTGTATTGGATTGCTAAAAACCATATTTAACAAAGTTGTAGTAAATTTAGCATTCCATTGTCCGAAAGCTTGTTTTAAGTCATACAAAGACTCATGCGACCTACAAACCGGTTTCTATGAGCTATTCATATACTTCCCCTTAAGCTTATAACTTGGCGAAGGATCCATAAACATTGTTTCTTCTAGATCGCTATGCGAGAAAACATTATTAATGTTTGGTTGAGAGAGGTACTAACCTTTAATAATAGTCAAAGCTAGAAACAATCTGATCGTGTTATACCTGGCAACGAGAACTAAACGTCTCTTGGTAATCAAATCCTTCAACTTGACTATACCTTTTTGTGACAAGCTTTTGTACCTCTTAATGCTACCATCAAACTTGAGTTTAACTTTACAAATCCTTTTACAACCTATTGTAAGATGACTTGTATGTTCAAATTTCACGACTTACGGATAAGTGTTAGGGTGAAATGTATGTGATAATGAAATAGTAAATGCAACATGAGAAGAAAAAAGTTAAGAAGTAGACAAATATTGACAAAGAGGATATAAAGTGGAATGAGTGAGATTACCATAAGAAATAATAGCTTTGTAAGGAAGAGAATGAGTGTAAGTGTCTAAATATGCGGGAAGTTTAATGCATCTAGTAGATTTTCTTAAAAGAAGTGGATAAGAAACAATAGGTGTAGGAAAAAAGACTCACGAGAAACAAAATGATGAGAACAAGAAGAAGAAGACTCGAGAGATAAAATCCATATGAAATGACTCAATAGAAATATCAATAAGCTTAATAGGAACATTAGTAGGGAAAATAGAATGAAAATGTCGAATAGTAATGGAATTAAACATATTAAATATGAATGAAGAAGGAAACATTGAAGGCAAGTTACGAGGAAGAGAAAAGCAAGAGGAAATAGAAAGAGAAAAAGAAGTATAGTTTCATAAAAAATGACATCTCTAGAAATAAAAACTTTATGAGAAATAAGATCATAAATTCTATATCCTTTAACTTTAAGAGGATAACCAAGGAAAACACAAGGAATAACTTTTGGATGGAATTTCTTTCGATCATGAACAGGATCAAAAACATAATATAAAGATTCAAAAACTTTTAAATGATCATAATATGGCGATGATTTGAACAAAAATTCATAAAAAGTTGCATTGTCTAACAAAGGATAAGAAATTATGTTGATCAAATATACAACAAGGAGAATAGCATTTCCTAAAATTTCATAGATGTTTGAAAAGAAGAGAACTAGCTACATTCAACAAATGCTGATGTTTTTTTTCAACAACAACATTTTGTCGAGGAATCCTTACATAAAATAATTGATGGATGATGCCTTTAGAAGCACAAAAGAGTGAAAGGTGAAATTTAAGACCATTATCGGATCTTATTTGTGTGATAGAAAAATAAAATTGAGTAAGAATCATTTGGTAAAATGAAAGAATAATGGATGAGATATTTGATTTATGTCCAAGTAGGAACATCCATGTAACTCTAGTAAAATCACCAACCACGATTAAAAAATAATGAAAACCACTAAAAAAAGTAACAAAATATGGTCTTTAGTGAAGGTTCATGCATCCTATGAAGGTGCGGAATAAAAAAAATTTCTTCTATTTAAAGTTTTCAATATCATGCAATTGAATCAACTAATCATATACGTATGAATTAAAGTATAAATAAAGGATTACCTTTTGCGGCACGAAATTAAACCTTTACGTAAAAGGATCCGTCCAAGTATCCGACCTTTATTGATAATCCACGTAGTCCAAGCACTCATACAAGAAGCACTCAAAATTAGTAGAGAGCTAGTTTCACCTTTTTTAAACTTGTTTAGTATTTTTACTTTAGAAATCTTAATAAGAGATATTTTACGACAACCCTAAGAGAGAGGGAAGAGATGACGTGTTTTTAGGAAAAGAGAAAACTATTTTCTCCTTATTTTTTTTCGTGCAACTCTAATCATTTGCACTCTTTTCCTGCACCTCTCCTTCTATTTATAGGGCTCAAAGGCTTTCTTGTCCTTCAAGGATAAGGAAAGGGCTGTAACTTATCCCATATGAACTCTAGGTTGTTGCATTCTAATCTTCTAAGGATTAGGAGTTGTTATGCATATGAGTTATTTGATCATATCCTTTAAAATATTCATTCTTATCTAATAAAGTTCATGTTTATTGTCCTATCAAAATATCTTTTAGGTTTTTAAATTAAACTTATTGGTCTAAACTATTTTTGTCCAATTAATTACTAATTAATTTGGACTATCTAAATAAATTAATTAGATATTTTTAGGAAGCCCACATTAGGAAACAATTTTTCAAATTACCCTTAAACCTAAATTTTGAATCTAATTTTCTTTTTAACTAATTTGCTTTCAAATTTGAAATTGACTTCCAAATTAAAAAGCTGATTTCTAAAATAAGAAAGTTTTAGGAAACTTTTCATTTTTAAAAACCTTGTCCAAAATAGAAAACCTTTCAAAATTGAAAAAATTTTTCAACATCTTTGCTTCTCTTTTATTATGTGAATGCTTAAACTTACGTTTGTGACTCAATAGGCTCTTAGATATATTGATTATATATAAAGAATAAAAGACACCTCTTTTATCTCTTGATACATAAATCAAGATTGGTCTTTAACAAGACATCATGACTATTTAATTCTCTAAAAGGATTAATTAATTCACCATTATCTCTCACGAACATGGTTACCATATAATTCGATCCTCATGTTAATTGATCATAGTGTGATCTCGAACTTGATTATTAGTCTATTCGGTTATGATCACATAAGTTTTCTTCGATTACTATACAATTCGATCCTCATGTCAATTTATCATAGTGTAATCTTAAACTTGATTATTAATCTGTTTAATTATGATCATATAAATTTTCTTCGATTCTCAAATGTCTTACTTAGCCTATAGAGTAAATCGGCTATGCTCTATTGATGTAATTCTACGGTGGTTATAGATTTTACGAGCGGACATTTATCGAAGTACAATGTGATAACTCCTTGAGCATACAAAGAATGACATGTCTTATCTTAGTCATCCATCTATTTTCATTAGATTCCTAATGCACCCAATGAATTACCTATGTGCAACCCTTTACTAGATCCATCGAAATGAGTGTCAAAGTATATAAATCCTCTAATGAGATAACCGTGATGACTTCAAGTCAAATGATCGATCGTACCCATCTTGTATGAGATTCTCATAGACTAAATCAAATAAGTTCTCATGGTGAGTCAAGTCTAGTGATATGTTCTCTAATATAAATCACTTAAGTGTTTGCTTTACCATCGTTATACCAATAGGTATGAGATCTCCTACTGCTATCTTATAACATGAGCGTACCACTCACAAGTCTAATCGTATATAGTCAATATCCATTCTTGACAATGTTATGACTTGAGATGTTTAATGATATCATTTAAGTGTATTCTTGTTTGTCTTATATCTTTATCCATTCTTAACAATGTTATGACTTGAGACGTTAAATGATGTCATTTAAGTGTATTCATGTTTGTCTTACATTTTTCGATCAATTATTAATTCAAATGTATATCGGATGGACTTCTATATAGTTTTATTCAATAAATAAATATAAAAAATAAGAATTAATAGAAAGACTTTTTTTATTATTGATAAAATAAATAATGCAATGATATAATAACTCAAATCTATCCAAATATGGATAGATCTTGAGCACCTACACTAATATTGAGATATCCATATGAACCAATTCAAAAGGAAAAGCTGTGTTTTTATTATGAATAAGAAATCCTAAACTATTCCGTTTTGCTAAAGGACAAAAAAGAAAAAAAATATTGTTATTAAATTAAACAATATAACGATTCGACTAATCAATTTAATCCTATCATATGACATATGACCCAATCTATAATGTTATACATAAAAAATAGAACGATTTGTAAATCTATTGTTTATCGTTTGAACATTACAAGAGTGTTTAATAGAAGGAAAAAGACAAGCTTGAACAAATTGGAATAAGAACAATTCCGTTTGAAGATTAGTAGTTTCAATCATTGTTCATGAAGTGTTGTTTTGAATCACATAAGAATTATCAAAGAATAATAGTTTGTAATAAGAGTTAGTCGTGAGCTTACTAACTAATATAAGATTGAATTGAAGAGGAGGAACACATAGGACATCATGTAAGAGAAACGAGGGTGATAGACGAACTTGACCAATGTCGAGTAACAACGACCTTAGGGGCATTTGGACTATCATACCAAAAACAGGTTTATAGGATTTAAAACAATTAAGAGAGCATGATATATGATCCATTGCACCGGTATCGATTATCTATGTACAAGGATTAAATGAAGCTACAATGCTTTATGAATAACAACAAATAAACATAACATAGATGTTATAAGAATGAAAATAGGTTGAGAGTGAGATGCAATGGAAGGATTGGTATGATTAGAAGGTTGTAATGACGAAGCTTGTGAATCTTAAATATTTAAAAGAGCCATGAGTTTGGAAACTTGCTCTTGAGTGAATGAAATACTATGAAATATGGTTTGAATAGGTCGACTAGTGTTCGAGTAGATGTAGAACCAGATTCTTCTTGTTTTGAGGTGACATTGTTGGCTTAACGAGAAGAACTTCCATAACCATGGCTAGAATCGAAATGAAAACAGACTTGTTCAAGTGAACCTTCATTACTATTGAAACTTTTATTCTTAGTGAATTTGGAGTCTACAGGAAACCAATGAGCCTATAATATTTATCTTTACTTGTGACCAAGTTTTCCATAATAAGTATTCTTCCTCTTTTTATTGCTAGAGAAATTATTCATAACAGAACACTTATTAAAAAGCTTATTTAAAATTTAAACAAATTTTTATGATTCTTCTCTCATAGCCAAGTTATAAACCTCATCTAGACTAGGAAATGATTTCATAACTAGAACTTGAGATTTTAGTGAAGTAAATGACTCATTCGGTCTATTGAGAAACTTAAACACATAGTCCTTTTTATAAATTATAAATTTCTACATATTTCTAAAAACAATCAATATTGCTTTTTTTACAACTAAAATGAGGTAAAAGCCTAAATTTTCTTAATTCTTTCCATACTCCATTAAGTTCGGTAAAATAAGTATTAACAAACCTAGTACCTTAAGTAATTGAACGTAGAGACCACTCGCAAATTATAAATCTTGGACTCATATGGTTATGATCTTCTTTTCTTCAAAACTTCCTAAATTTTTAGAGCTAAGTTCATGTAGAACACTATTGCGGTAATAGGAGGTGACATCGATCTTAATAATCAACCCACAATTAGGTTATTACATCGATTCAATGAATGAAGAAGAGGATTATCATCTTTATGTTGAAAAATAAAACCATCAACAAAACCTAATTTTTTACGAATTGAATGAGTAAGAATAAATAACTCGTTCCAAATAACATAGTTCTCCGTAGTTAGTTCAAGAGTAACTACGAGAGAGCCATGGTGATTTGAGTGAAGAATGAAGTATGGAGAATGAGGATCATCAAGCGATGAAGTACTTCAGTTATGGAGAAATAATTGAAAGATTCAAAGAACAAGTTGAAAGAAGAATGAAATCAATGAAATCGAAGAAATAGAAACCCTAGGATATTTCAAGCTACGATACCATGTTAACTTTCATGGTGAAATGAAAGAGAAAAGAGAGATAAGAAGATTTGGGAAAGTTATTATTTGTTCAGCTAAGTCGAGAAGAAGAAGAATCACACGTAATTGTTGCTATATATACAAAACTTAACTGAAAACTAACACCATAATTAATTTAACTAACTCATCCATTAAACACTAACGAATTGTACTCGTGGTATCCTCACTAAATGCCTGAATACAAATACGTAACATTATCTTGTAATCTGATAATAAATATGTGGTGTTTTTAAAAGAAAAGAATGGATATTTTTTGGTTATATATTCAATGTGTATTTATTTATTTATTTATATGATATTATTGTCGACATTGTTAGTTTTTATTATGTTCGTAAGGATAATGGTTAAATTTGTGAATATAGGGTGGCAGGTCAGAGCAGCATTGATACTCCAAGAAAAGAGACTGCTGTCGACTCTGAAGGTTACATATATAAATTTATTTATTTTTGTTAATAATGTTATTCATCATCCATAATAATTCTGTATAAGAGAGATTGACGCCATCTTATTCTCTTAATGTTTCCAAGCCCTTCCTGGGGTCATCTGATTTGCTTAAGCTCCTAACCTCTCCTATTCAGATCTCCTTACCTTAAGAATGTATCAATAGAGTTGTTTAATCTATATTTTCTGAAGTTGGCTAAATTAATGGTTTTAATTATTATTATTATTATTCTGTAATAGAAATAAATGCGTCCAAGAATTATAATGGGAAACATTTTCGAGTAACAACCGAACCATACCATACGAAGCCGGTACTCGTATTACAATTGAAGGATGCCCTGCGGGTGTCCCCGTCACCAAAGCTGCTTTGGAAGCTCATATTTACGGGTAAGTTCAGCATAGAAGGTAGTTTACAAATTTAGTACTTGGTGTTTTCAAACAGAAAAATGGATTTTGGCTATTCAGTGTATATGTTCTTGTTAAAGAATTATTAGTCCGTACAGGGAGTGGATCGAATTCTCGACTCCAAGAAAAGAGATCGGCATTAGGACTCCAAAAGAAGAGATAGCTGTGTGCAAAATATGTTCGGTTCTATGAAGGTTATTTATATATATAATAAGTAGTCCTTTTCGTTTTTTTTTTTATTTTTCGTTAACAATGTAATTCATCTTCTTCTTTAGATAAGAAGAATTGATGATTGTTATCGTCTTTTCTGATATGCTGGATATGCCAATGTGGTCTTATTATATCAACTGCATGAGTGACTACGGAAGGGCCTATCATTCTCTTCCAGAATTATTAGCGGATAAAGGTTATTCTTGGTTAATAATGTTATTCCTTATCGTGTTTTAATAGTTAAGAACAAGAATTGATCATGAATTAATGATTTTGTTGTCTTTTTTTATTTGCTTATGTGCGGTGAGTGACCACTGGAGAGTGCATGGAGATATTTTATGCCAAACTGATGTGATGATTTGCGAGCAACTAGTGCTCAAGGCATGTTGACTACTGGTTTGCTTGCGGTGTTTTCCTTCAAGATCAAGAACATAAATTTCTTAAATTTGTTGTTCTCTTAGCCCATTTAATTATGATGGTGACTACTCTTGATGGCTAAATTTCAGATTAGGAGAAATTAATTTAATTTAAAGATTGTGTGACGAGTGAGATAAGTAAAGGGGTGTCTTTTACTAGGAGAGTACACGGCTAATTGGGCAATGCTTTATTTGGTTGTTATAAGTTGAGAAATTTTATGGCATTTAAGTAACTAATAATATTTATTCCATCGGAGAAGATATAGGAACAAGGAAGAGAAAAAGAAATAAAATATAAAGAAATAAAAAAATTGAGTTTAAATGCAAATATTTGATGGGTTTGGATGTAATTTTCTCTCTATTGTTTGCCTCTAAAGCTATTTGCATCTTAAAATTGCAGCAGAATATCATTGTGCTTAAAAAACAGTAGTGCACCTTTTTATAAATGAGCATAAAGCTTTGATCTGTACAAAATCACCAAAAAGGACTATTTCTCGACGATATTCATCAGTTCTTCGGTTTCTGCTTGTGTGTGTAAGATGGATGGGAGAGGTGCTGTGATTTTAATTACCTGTAGGCAACCAAAGACGAAAAATACGGTGAGGAAACAGTATAAAAAGCTTTTTGCATCTTAAAAATTGCAGCAGAATATTAGTGTGCTAAAAAAAAAATGGATAAGCAAATTCTTTTAACTGATCATAAAGTCTTGTGTAGCATAAAATCACCAGAATTAACATCAGCATTTTTTCTTCTTTTTAGAGTTTATCTCATTAAAATTATCAACAACCGCCTAAACCCAGACCATAACCTTTGGAAAGGGTTTCATTGTTTATTGAATGCCAACCTCATTTTTGGTTGGGTGCGAGAGAACCAATTGATGTGCATGCAAGTAGTAGCCACAATCTCCTGGGACAGGTTTTGCTGGCCTCTCGTATCCTCTACAAGAAGTGAAGTCAAAGTTGTAGGATTCTGGATTTGATAAGAAGATAACATATGAGTTCTGAATGACTGAGATCAAGAATGAAACAATCAAACAAACTAGCAAACCACATGATCAAATGTTATTACAGAAAAGCTGCTGCAAGAGATACTTCTAGCCAAATGGGAACTCGCTGCATATAGGAGATTTTATCAGGTAATTCTGGTTCTGTTTGGCATGTAACAGATGTATCTTTGCTTCTCGTATGCTTTCCTCTTGTCACTCATGTTAAGATTCATGTTGAGGAATGTCCATTTTTGTTGACTGTAGCATATGACATACGTTAAGACTATTTAATTCTGTCAAGGATCTAATAATAGAGAAGGATTTGGTATTAAATTGGATAAATCAAGGCAAAGGTACTTGAAACTGGATTTAGTATAAAGTTTCAGTTTGTTCTCAAGGTAAGGAAGAGAGATCTCTTAGGTTGAAGATCAAACTCAACAAAAGCAGTCAAAGACCAATTAGCCAAGGTCGGTAGTGTGGAATCCTCTTTACAACATCATGTCCTTTGTTCAAAAGAAAACTTCCATATCCTAAATTTGTTGTTGATTATCAGACAACTCCATTTTCCTCTCTCAAAAATATCACTACTTAGACTAGTGCCAATATGGAAGAAAAGAAGATCATGAGATGAAAAAACCAGAAAATCTACATCTACATAAACAGAAATACATCTGTACCCGTCTTTGGCAAAACTCTCATCCTCATGTTCAGAATCAAAGCACTTTGGTTGCCCTCCGATGTCATAAAGAGGATCACCTGATAATTTACGAAGGCATTTGTCAAACTTGTGTAGTTAGATGACTTAAACAACAGCTCTTTTAATTTCTGTATGTATCGAATTAGCAATCACTGAACCACAATAAACACTGTAGAAATAAAGGGCTCCATTCCCCTATTTACTTCTTGAATCTTGACAAGGATAAACAGTAAAAATATCAATACTAAGGTTTACCCAGTAAAGGATGCCCTATGAAAGAAAGATGAATGCGAATTTGGTGTGGGCGTCCTGATTCAATCTCAACCTGTTAAAACATATTAACAAGTATTTAAAAGTTCAGAAAATTTAAGTGGTGCTCCATTATTTAGTTTATAGCAAAGAGTACCTCCCCTACATTTCTCCAGATGTTAAATCAGAGAAAGGTACAATTTATGTGCATCAAGATAAATTCAAGATATACAAAGTAAAACATGCAGAATACCTGGACCAATGTGTGGTTTCGTTGTGCATCTCTCTCAAGGACTTCAACTTTGCTCAAAGCTTGTTTACCTGGCTTGACCAATAAAGAGACACAAACATGAGCAGAAATACATTTGAAATAGCAAAGGATGATTTTCACAAAAAAAGAGTGGAATAACAAACACTCAAACGTTGTGATACTTATTGAGACTTGAAAACACATCCATATGCTATTGAATTTTGTATAGTAACTAGAAATACTTAAAGAGGAGAAAAAAAATCAGACGAAATTTATTAAGGAAACAATTTAATGAACCTGAGGGAGAAGCAACATACAACCCTTTGGCCACTCCAGGGTAACGCATTGTTCCAATTGGCTGTTTGATGATAATCTACGATGCAAAAAAATTCTTATCATGCAAGGTTATTTGCAAGGAATGGTGTAATTAAGAAAAAACAAAAAACCACTGGAAATAAATGTTTCTTCGAGTTGTCCGCATTATAAACACAAAATAATCAGTGTCAACAAGAGAAGAAATCGCAGCATAACCAGAAGAGTACAAATGCTATAAACAGAAAAGGAAGGAAAAGGGAGTGGTCAAGCCAAGGTGTTACCTTATCCTGATTCAGTATCCCATTCACTAGCGCTCGATATATCTTTGAAATTTTCCTCTTTTTTCTCTGCTCTATGTTGGTATTGCTATTCACAAGGGAATCAAATACGTTTTATCACCAAAACATATTATGATACGAAGGCATGATGAGCAATACTTTAAAAAGCTCTTATAGAAACAGAAAGCTAGTAAGAGGCATAGTTTAAAAGACGAGAAATTGTTCCTTCAAAGCTGTCGATCAGTTGTTGGTCCAGTGAACCATCTAAGAATTCAATTTGAATATTGTTGCTTGACAATCTGTACTACCTGGAGTAAGCAGAGTATGTAGAGTGGCTTAGGGTAGCGGTTACGGGTCATTTGGATGAATTCCATCAGCTGGATAGGTACTGTAAATAATAGCTTCCTAGTGTTTCAGAGAGACTGAAAGCCTCTCTTCCAATTTGTCTTTGTCTGCCAATGGACTCACAGATTTAGTAATTTGGGACAAAAAATAGTAACCTGCTGGATCGAGAGCATTTAGCAAGGGGGAGTCCATTTCTTTCTTTGTCTCATCTTTCTCTTGTATGTGAACCAAGAACATAAAATGTTGGCAGAACAAAAGATAATATTATGTCCAAAGTTTCGAACTCTTTTCCATTGACAACCCATGAGCATTAAATTGATACTGAAATCTTAATCTGGCCAAAATCAGATTTCAATTAGCTATGCAGAAAGTTTCTCGTTGATTCTAAACCAAATGAATTAATCTATAACCACAGGAATAATAGGCACCTTATATCCGATAGCCCCAAAGAAAATATGAACGGTTTTAACAGTAAATCAAAACTTTCATAGAGAAACAACTCTAGGTCCCAAAAGAAAGATGAAACTTCTACCAACCTGTTGTTTCCAATAAGGGATGTCCCATCAGCAAAATATGCAGCAAGGCTAGTTTTGGCGACCTTTGTTTTTGCGCAAAGTAGTATTCCTAGAACCCGATTAATAAATGGTCAACTCAGAGAAAATTTCACAAGAAGAGTCGGTATATTCCAGCCTACTTTATTAAAACCAAAAGAGCAGAGTTCAAAAGTGAAAATTTTCAAGTAGAAAGAAGAAGATATTGCTGAATATTATTAGGACAAAATACAAACAAGAAGCCATCATCATTTAACAAACCATATTCTGGCTTACGACCATGACATTGACTGCCCCACTACTATGTCAAGAATTGTTTCTTAAGTTAAACTCTATGAAATTCACTATAAAAGCTACTATTAATAGAAGAAAATTTTGTCAGGTCTTTACTTGTCAGCAATTCTTATTTTTATATCAGTGCTAAATTAGTCATATAATTGTCTCTTGCACAGATAAAAAATTTAGCCAGCAGTAAGCAGAGAAGATAAAGTTATGGTCATTTATTCAGCACCAGTACACACTCATTTGCTAACCTGATGTACCCCTTCCCAGGCGATGAACAGGAACAGGATGTGATCCTTGGCTTGCTAGGGTAGTGCTGTCCTTGCTTGCCCTCCACTGGAGTTGCATTAAAACAGTCCGTTGCTGGAAAAGCCCTCCAGGTAACACTTGAAGACCGGACGGCTTGTTCAAAGCAATCTGAACATGTAAGCATAGTTCCATATCAATCAGCCAAACATAAAACGAAAAAACACACACACAAAAGTAATCATTAAATGTAAAACATTTACCATATCATCATCTTCATGTAAAACTTGAAGCAAGTATGGCGCATCGGGCTCTCTCCATGGAAGCCTATGATAAACCAATTCCGAACCAGCCCTATAAAAAATAAAAAAAAATCATTTTTTTTTCCAACAAATGACGATCTCTTTCTAAACAAAAATATAAATGTAGTTTTTTTATTTGGTTTTTAACTCAAACCTACCTAAGCATTGTATACGGTTCTTTAACAACTTCACCGTTAATTATTATCTGTAAAGCGTAACCAAAACCCATTTCCAAGAATTACTCAACAGCACAATACATCAACAAAAAATGTGAAAAATTCACCATTTTTGTGGATGATCAACCTGTCCATTGTGTATTCTCTGCAACCAACTGTTTCAATATCAGTAAACCCAAAAAAAATAATAATAATAATAATTCAAAACCATGTAGATTTATTGGGAGAGAGTATAATAAAGGGTTGTTATCAATTGAGTATTAGTTACCCTTGTAAAGGAGCAGAATTCTTGTACTTGGTGGAGTAGAATTCTATCAGTGTCAATCCTGTAATTAATTACTTACTGATTAGCAGAGATAAGCAATTAATTATTGATTGATTAACTTTAACAATAAAAAGTAAGCAGAGAATAATAGGAAGAGAGAGACCAGAGTCGAAGGAGGAGGTCGAAACGACGTCGTTGTAGAACAAGCCGTCGTTAAGATCCGGCCAAGGTAAGCCGAATGAGTAAAGAGTTGATCTTTGTAGTGAATTTGCTGCGTTACACATTTTTTATGTACCGTCACTTTCAGTTTTGGTTCCAATTGCAACAGGAGCAGGAGCTCAGCATACTATCACGGAATTTGCTTTTTCCAAGCTCACACGCGGCACTTGGCTCTTTTCTTCTCTAAGAAAAACCAAGTCTATGTCTTTCTCACATAAAATTATTAAATCAAGAAAGACCTCACTTACAGCGATATAAGATCCGTCTTTTTCAAGCTCACTGCGTCACTAAGTTCTTACTTCTCTAAGAAACACACTCTTAAGTTTATGAATGTCTGGATGTCTTGGTCGAGTGAGGCCTCACCTATTTATAGCCTTCCACCTCCTCAATGGATGGCTAGTATCAATTTAATCTAATGGTTACAATGGCGTTCTACTAGAAATATCACTATCTACAGATATTAGTGAGGGACTCTACTAGAATTCTCTAGATCATCTTAGAGACTTCTCCAATGCTCTATATTCTTCAGAAGCTTCCAGGCCTTATCTGAGGCTTTTCCTTTGCTCCATACTCTTTTAGAAGCTTCAGGACTTATCTGAGGTTTCTCCATTGTTCCATACTCTTTAGCTAGACTTATCTAGTGTTCTTTAGAATCTCTAGAAAAATCCTTCTTGTAGACGGAGCGTAACAATACGGTGACTATGGCTTCTAAATTCTAATACAATGATTTCTTTTTTTTTTTTTTTTTTGCCCTTTAGGTAATATTGTGGCTATATATACATATGTATATTTATTTATTTTCCTTTAATTAATATTGTGGTTATATTGTTTTTTAATTAGCTTTAGTTTTACGACTGTTAAAACTTAAAAGTGTTTTTCTTTTTTTTTTTTTAACTTGAATTTATGGGAATTGTTTTATATAATTTTTTTTGTTCAGCTTTAAATTTCAATTTTATTTCGCAATATCATGGTCATTCAAAAATACATAGTTTCTTATATATATATATATATATGTATGTATGTATGTATTTTTTTGGATGGAAAGCAAGAAAGAGTGAAAGACTACAACCTAAGCCAACAACATCTGCATCCAGCAAAATCCTTGAGACGAGGGAGTGGCCAAGACACAAACTTGATTCGAACCAAGCTACCTGTGACCTGACTGGCTAGATTCAAAAACATCGAACCGCAGGTTCTGTCCCGTTGCTTCTTGTGAAATTAATTACGTACTCTTATCTTGCCGGTTAAAGACATATCAGAAACAATTCTGTTCCAGATTTGAACAGGCATAATGTTCTTTTCTTTTTTGTTTAAGCTTTTGGTGCTATTACTTGGTTAAAAATTATTTGCTCCCAAATGACAAATTGAAATGATAAAAATATGAAGTGGCTTGCCTTTCCACAATCAAACATCAAACTGCCAACCTTAGGAGTATTTTTTTTAATCAATGCGTTGAGTTTTGGAGAAAAAGTAAATATTTTGCCATTGATCAAGATTTGCAGATTTTACAAAAGCATTAGTCTTAAACCGGGTCAAAATTGGCGCCACAAAGCGTACACCCATAAAACGTGGAACACAAACGACGACCAGGTCATTCCAACTTCGTCAAGAATTCAAGGTACAAACCCAATATAAACTAATTTTTCGATTCCAAAGCAAATTAGTTGACCTGCTCCAATGGATGATTGCCAATAAAAAGAAAGGACCATTTGGACATCTCAGCAAGGTTTTGTTGGAGATTCCAAAGATGGCTTATAATGTTAGATAAAAGCAGCAAGCAAGGAAACATGTACCTCACAAATGTCAAATGATTGGCTGAGCATGAAAAAATTAGTTAACACGTGTATTTGTATGAAAGTTTTGTATAATTTTAGGTAGAGGAATGCATTGCTCATATATGTTGGTCCCTTGTTCGGTCACTTTGAATACGCATAAATACATTCTTACTTATTGAAAAGATGACAAGATCTCAAGTGTCAAGCATTCCATGATATTTGTCAAGACAGAAAACTGCCTGAATAATAAATAAATCACTCATGATTTAGTATCTTTTATTCCTTCAATTGCCGGAATCAGGTCTTTAAAGGAAAGGAAAACAACAACAATCATGGAAAACAAGGAATAGAGAAACACTCCTTATTGAACACAAAAATTACAATCATGTAAACGCACAAAGATGGGGCAAACAATAAGTGCCAAGACAAAGAATTAGCAGAATACGTCTGTTGCTGATGAGGAATTCCCTGCCATTTGAAGGGAAACTGGATACTCCACCAGAGAACCGCAATGTCCACTCTTAACAGCAACAACTTGCAACTGACTGGAGCTACTGGCAGGAATTTCGGCAAGAGGCATTCCCTTGGCAGCTACTGCCTTCAGCCGGTATCGCTCTGCCCTTGATCCAATAACCTGTCCTAATATAGATGCTCCGATGGTAAGTGCCATAGCTGACTTTGGCATCAATATGGATTTCCTAAGCATGGCTATGAATGGAACTGCAGCATGGACAGCAGCAAACCATGATGGTGAAAATTTTTTAGTGTGCTCCCTCCATATTCCTAAAGGAACATTTGCTGCCATACCCAACATCCCAATCGCAAGTACTTTCGCGGGCAAGGGTTGTGGCCGAAGATTCTTTGCAAAGGCAGTTCGTGATATAGCTGCTCGGGCTGCAACCACTGCAGGTGGGCACTTGAAGTTCATGCCTGGAGGGGGTTTCAGAACCTTCGCTACTAGTGGCAAGACACTGCTAACTGCCCGATAAGATTTCGCAATAGGGCAGTTTCCGGTTTGCAGCCACTCATTGCTCAATGCCTCGTGATTAGATTGTCCTCCCTGAAACATCATCATAAAAACTTGTTAAAAGGGGAGAACGGAAACGCAATTTAAAGTTCCAAAATTTGGTTTTCATCGTATTTGTTTTGAGCTTCCATAATGGAATTATCCAGTAACAGTCTTGAAATCAACAATCATTTACCTGTGAAGACGGCCCTTTCTTGGATGAATTGGAGTTTTTCTTCTGATTATTCCACTTCTTAGAAAACGCATCAAAACTGAAGGGTCCCCCAGCTCCAAAGGATGAAAGACTGATGGTGGCTGCCTTTGCAGCTAAAGGATTGAATTCGGGTACAGTGGGTTGAGCTTCTCCTTTCTCAAAGCGCGAGAATGATCTTCCAGAAAGTGGGACTACTCCATCTTGTCCATGGAATAGCCTAAAAGCCATGTCAAAATTGGGACCATCTTCAAAAATTGGACCCTTAACCGTGCGTACCTAGCAAAACAGATAAATTAAAATTTTAGTTGTATGTTCCATTCCAATTAACCAATTTCAGTTCAGTTGGTTGTGGGGTCTATTGTAGAAGTGAAAATTATACTGGTGAGATGGACAAAACATCGGATTAAGGTAACAAGTGAGAGGCAAGCCAAGGTTCTGAATTTATTGGTTTCATACTAAGCCAGGCCAGCTCCAAGTAACAACACAATTTTCTGGGTCTCAGAGGAAATGCACAAGGTATAATAAAAGAGGCAACACCCGAAACAATACCTAACCAAGACTCAAATACAGAAGAGGCTTACATTTAACCAAAACTGAGCAAAAATAGAAAACTTACAGGCATTGGGAAAGGCATGGATGAGGAAAGCGAAAAACTAGTGGGCTCATTAATGTTTCTCAAAAAGGGACACCTTTGGATGTCTAGCTGAGAAGATGCGGGATCCTCATTTAGACCTCTGAATAAAAAGTCCATCTTTATCAGAAATCAAGGTTACCTGCACAAAAAGAGAAGAGCATAAAGATAAATGCATTCATCATCTTATGGACAAGAAAAGATAAACTTCCAAGCATGAAATCAAACTCTCAAAACGATCTTAAAGAATAAAAATTGACCACAAGCAATACTAAAACGCAACTCTGAATCATACCAACCACCGATCGAGATTGTAAAGCAATCCCAGAAACTGAAGAAACACATACAAGGTTGTGATTGCAAAGTGTATGATCATATGTCCAGTAAACCGAAACAATTCATTAAATCAGCAGTTCTAGCAATCAAAATCTAAACTTTAATAAAGAGACAAGCATCATTAACACCTATAAAGTTCAATTATATAGCAACAATTATAAAAACAGAACATAACTCTTAAAAAAAGAATACAACTAAATAAAATCGGACGTCATCTACTATCTCACAAATCACCACACAAAGCTTTTTATTACAAGAACTACAGAGTTAAGGATTTACCATTCCAAAAAAAAATTGACTTTTACCCCCCCCCCAACCAAAAAAAAAAAAAAAAAACAAAAGCAGCAGAGAGAGAGAACACATTTGACTTCCAGAAACCCACTAATGTTTTTTCTTTAAACCTCTAAATTATCAAGCTTTAGCAAACTATTAAGCCTCTAACATAAACAAAGTTCAATTACGATGAAATAAAGCAAAACACCAGACAATGCCAAAAAAAAAACGTAAAAAACAAAGATCTAAACTGAAAGAAAGCAAGAAACTTTACGATGCCATACCTCTTGTTCTGATGTTATGGCTAAAACCCAAAAATCAAAAGAGAAGAAAGGAAGGAAAAAGGGTTGTTTTCAGAGATTGAAGAGAAAGAAAGGAATCAAAGTTAGGTGACAATGGAGAAAGAGCGAGAGAATTGTTTAAGATAAGAAAGAGAGGAAGGAAACGACGACGTGGTGAACACACGCCTTTGATGTTAGAGTGTTGTAAAGGTCAAAGTTGAACAACTAGTTTTTTTTTTGGGGTCAGCTATGGTAGATGGAGACTTTTATTGAAAGAGAGGAACTGTCTTAATTTAATACGGAAAAGAAAAATAAATATGGGCTGGGATTCTTCATTATTTCCTTTTTCTTATTTGGATTCGGATTTTTGGATTTGTTTACCTAATTTTCTCTTCCCTTTTTAATTATTTTCAAAAACAAAAAGTAAAAACTATTAATAGTTTGGAGGAAAAAAAAAAAAAACTATTCCTGTCATGATAGTTTCCGACTTTTTGGGGGGACGGTGTTTGCGATGGCGTGGATTTTTTTAAAACTGAAAATGAGGCACACGCTTTCCATCTCTAAATTCCAAATTTGGGTTTTCCATTATTTCAAAAAATTAGGGAAAGAATGTGAAATTCCATCATATTTATGGTTTTTAGATTATTAGTTTTTTAGTACCAGCTTTGCACTTGTATTGTTCATATAATTTACGATATTTGATTTTTTTAATAATCATTTAAAAATAAATATTTTTTTAATTTTATTAAATAAATATGTTTGATTTGATAATAATAATAATTAAATTGTTTTTTTGACCATATGGAATGATTTTAACTGGACTTGGGTAAAAATTAGGGACATGAATTAAATTATTATTAAATTTTAATAATTAGTAGTCATCGTAAATATAAATAACTCAAAAAAAAAAAATCACTAAAAAGTTTTCACCTAACATTGTACTATTGTAAATCTTTTCTATTTTAAATATTTATTTTCAATTAAATACCACGTGATGTAAATTAACAATAAAAATGTAAATAGAAATTATTGAAATTACTTTTTTTAGTAAATCTTGTCTTCTTTAATATTGTTAATGTTTGTTCGAATGAGTAAAAAATAATGTAAGACAATAATAAAAACAAACTTATAAAAAATTAATCAACGATTCAATTCAAGAAATTTATGAATTGTTATGTAATTTAATTATTTTTAAATTTTAATTCTTTATTTTTTTATTAATTTGTGTTGAAAAAATCAAAGTTTAAATAGTTAAAATAAAATATCAATACCGTATTGTATAGTTTAAAAGTGATTTAATTACATTGTTTTATGTTATTTAACGTGCATGTAAATAAAAATAATAATAAAAAACGAGATTGGCCTGTATTTTAAAATTTACTGTAAAATATAACTTATTTTTTGGAATTAATATTTTTTTTTTACAATTATTGGTCTTTTTCGTAATTAGAGATAAGAGATGACATTGAATTTACTTATTAATATTCATAGTATACTATAAAATTAATATTGGTTTAAAGATCTAATAGCCATTCAAAAGTTTTTAAGTAGTTCGTGCTTTTATATTCAATTTCTAATTTATCTCATTCTATATCGGCTTTCAATCAAAATATTTCAACCATATTTTGTCTGATTTTTTTTAATAGATTCAATAAGGTATTTTAACCCCCCTTCTTTTTTCCATCAATAGCAAAAAATTCCTCCAAAATTTTATATTTTGAATTATAATCAATTACACCCAATTTTAATACTTTAGGTCTCCAAAAAGTTGTTGTTTTTACTTTTTATATATATTAAAAAAGTTATTATTAATGATCATGCTAATGAATATTTTTTGCTTATGTATTTTTTTAAATCAATTTAAAAAAATTATATTTAAAAAATTTTACTTAAAATTTTGACGAAATAAATATTTAAGAATGGATATAAATAAAAAGATATATAATCTTTTTAAACCCAAGAAAGTAAGTTCTTACGATTTTTTGTTTTGGTAATCTTATCTCATCTTTTCACCGTCATCTTATCACTAAATGAAATATGATTTAGAGCGTAATTGATTTTAAATAGAAAGCTGAAATACTCATGCACTTGGCAAATGGCATGGGCTACTCATCCTCGTGGTGGATACGGATGGCTTTCAAGATTTCTGCTTTTGGTTTGGTTGGAAGTTAGTGATTACGTGGCTGATGACTTCATGCAACTTTAATTAATTTACAACTACTTTTAATCTTGCAATTTTAATCATCTATCCTAATTTCTTCTGCCATTGAAATATTTATTTTTTTGTTTTCAGCACTGCTTAAAGACTTGAAGCATTTTAAACATTGACATAAAGAATAAATAAAAAAGTATTCATGCGTGAAGCATGTGGCTGAGTTTTTGGAAGAAAAATTCAACGCTCATTCTTATGAATTGATATCGTTTTATATTCCTAAAGCCATGTTAATTGAATTTAAGACATTAAATTCAAATTGAATGATCATTATTTAATACATGATAAAAAAAAATTTAATTTTTAATATTTTATTTCTCTCACTGAATTTGAATTATTGAGTTCAAAACCAATCGTAAGATTTGAAATATTACAGATTCTATTATTTTAATAACACAAAAAGATCCAAATATCATTCTAACCTTGTGTGATCTCATTCATTCCACTAACCTGTCACTATCAAATAAATTATAAACTAGTCTCTAATTTTAAGAAACAAACTAATTAGTTTTTTTTTTAATTTCAATAACTAATTAGTTAGTTTCTTAATCTGTGTTGAACACACTTAATTGAACAGTATTTTATTTTTTTAAATATCTTTTTTTGCTAATTTTTTCATAATATTTGTTAATTTTTTTTCTATTTTTAAATACAAAACAAATGAAAAAACATAAAGTTGACAAAAAAATTAAACAATTAGTTTTTGAAATAAAAAAGACTAATTAATTTGTTTCTCAAACCTAGAGGGACTAATTTATAATTTTCCCACAAACATCTACCTTGGCGATGCCAACAAATTCAATGGACCAATGTCAGAAATCAGAAGCTAAGGAATAGCCTTTGCTTGGCAAGAATATAAAAGGACAAAAACTGGGTAGATGCAGTCTACTGTATATGGTTGAAACGTGTTCGAGACAAGGATCAGATGCTAAACACTGTATAAATGACAGTAAGCTGAACGAAACATGTGGCCAAGTTTGTATTTACAGGAAGTTGAAAAAACTGCCATTAGCTACTGATCTGAAAACTATTGTTCCTTTACGGCCTTCCCTCTTGCAAACAAGTCAATTTCATTAGAAAGAGAGGAGGGCATCGGGAACGTAGTTTAGGGGGAAAAAGAAGAAAAACAGTAAAAATTAATATTACTGAAAGTTGATTTCTGTAGTCACTCACCAGCAAATACTAAAACCTATTCAGGCCCTGGTTCCTCCCCTGATTTCTTGTATTCCGGCTTCAGCTCATACGATCCTTGATTACTTCCCTTGTTGTTGTAGACACAGAGGTCTTTAAGCATGTCTTTCACAAATTGCTGCAGAAAGACAAGGCAATAATGAGATATTGAAGCTGAAGACGAAATACTTCTAAACTGAAATTCAACAGAGGCAATGGCGAAAAATGCAAAAGGAAACCTTAAAACAAGCATTTCAATAGAGAAAAGCATTTCACATAAGCCCAACAAGATCTCAGTGGCTGGCAGCTTAAGTTTTTGAAACAGTAACAACTACAATTTTTTTTTCTGTGTCTTCCAGAAGGAGTGAGGGAAGAAGGAAGATAGTCAAAAGATGATGAAGTCATTCTTAGTGTGACAACTAATGGAGCACCACCTGCCCAGGCTTGTTCGAAATGGTCAACAATAAAAATAAGTAAGCAAAGTCACAATTTTTTCTGAATTTCGAAACAAGTTCCATATTGCAGATAAGCAGAGCTTCTGAATTTCACAGCATATAGAAACACTGGTTAAAATAGATAGAAATGCTAATCTGCAAGAACCAATATTTTGTAAAATCTCAGAATCCTTGCAATCGGAATTAGGGCTTTGATGAGTCAAATAATTTCATTCAAAATCCAGAGACGAGGTGTAGAAAACCATCCAATGAAATGAAGTAGTCACGAGGTAAGCTAACATGAAGCATGTGGTCATGGCCATCCTGAAAAGAGATGGCTCGTGCACATTTGAACAGTCAAGTTAAAAAAAAAAAAAGCTCATGCCCATTTGAACCTTTTAATGAGATATGTGCATTTCAACTAAAGGGTCAAAGAGCTTTCCATAGTGTTTTGACTGCAGAGTGCAGGTACTTTTCACAGCCGAACAACTTGGAATTTGGCAGAGTAATTTTTACTTCTGACCCCCATTAAGGAAAAGTCTTATCATAGTGTTAAAAGATGAGTTCATAACAGAATCCAAAAGTAGTTAAATACTAAACAGTAAGAGCCTGTAATCTTTACACACGAGTAGCAGGTAAGCATAATGTTGGAATTTCTTCAAATTACGTTGATAAGATCAAATTAGAACACTTTCACACAGACAAAGAGATAATCATAGCACCCCAATTTGCCTTCTGGTTTCGTAAACACCCACATTTAGACAAACAGTGTCTAACAAGTCAAATATCCAAATATATACAAGATATTCTCTGTTGATCTAAAGGTCATGTGTACCAAGGTAAATCAAACTCATGATTGAATAGGCTAAGAAATCATATTAGCATATATTCTTCTACAAGCAATATGTTTTTGAATGCTTTCCATAAAGCATCACCTGGCAACAATATGGACATATACAACGACTTCAAGATCGCAATTGTGACATACTGCACTATAAAGAAACTTGGTCACTAATTAATGGGTATCATAGACACATATAGAAAACAAGCACAATTTGTTTTATTTTATTTTTATGCACAATAGTGTTACTAAGATCCAAAAGGTAGCATCAACACATATGCAAAAACCAAGTGGTCAAAAAACATACTTCGGGTTGATCTGTTTCTTGGACCAGCTGTCTTAATGTCCAATTTGGTTGTTTTTCAAAAAGCTTAAACATAATCCCTTCCATTTCTCCACGGTCTCTTCTCGTCCTTTTCATATCCGATGCCTTGATTGGCAGTTTCTTCTTATCCTATTGCAAACACAATTATGTAGAATAGTCCATATCATAAATATCTCTAATCTATCTAGTAATGGTAAAAAGAAAGTGCCTCCAGATAAAGCAAAGTGAAATAACATTGACAAATATGTAGAAAAAAGACAGTACAGCGAATCCAGATATAATCATCCCCGGCATAGGCATCATATGATTCCCAGTGTCATTGTCGATAACCTGAACTGGGAATAAGGCAAGGGTCAAAGAGAATTGATCGTCCATAAAAAATATGAAGAAAAGATGTTTGATATAAAGGAGAACCTTTATTTGTCTACTCTTGATCATGCACTTGTTTGTTCTTTCACGGCAGATTTTTCTATAGTTCTCTAGGTTTTCACTATGAGGCCTTACGTCAAATTTGTTCAGTATTCTTCCCTCCACAGACAGCTTTCCTATAACACAGTGGAATTTCACCAACTTTAGTTCAGCTTCCCAAGTTTGGTTGCCACAATTGAAGCATGTTATATGAGTCAGAAGTTAGAACTAGAAACCAGCTGTGTGCTATCCAAGTAAACAACCATTAAAAAAAAAAAAAAAACATATACCAATTGCATATTCTCGTGAATCTCTTTATGCGGGTAAGTAAGAGTTCCATGGCCATTATGTACTGAAGTCCTTTTTTTTTTTTTTTTTTGGGTACAGAGAAGGGCCCATAAGTCCAAGGACACAAACACTAACTAATTATTGCAGATGATATTAGAAGCAAACCTACAATGATCAGCTGAAAGTAAGTTCAGAAGTCCTAGTGGAGGATCAGGAAGATATCTGATTCTTAACTTCCCATTAGATTCCATATTAGCTGGTCAATCAGCACATAAGTTCCCTTCTCAGTAGTATGTGCATTTATATTTAAGTTATTGCTCAGTGGCAATGCTGTGCAGAAAAATTCAGTCTAGAGTTTCCTAGCTATTCCAAATTAAAAAAAAATAAAAAATTATCCACTGGCCTTCTTTTCCTTGAAGTGAACCATCTTAAGAGGTCACTATTGTCCTCAGTTTGGATAGAGAGGCAAAACAGGGAATTTATATAAGCTATTTTGTCAAAGAAAAATGATAAGTTAACTATGATCTGAAGCTTTCTTCATGAAAAATGAATTTCAAGACACGAGCTCCAAAGACAGAAGCATGCTTACCTTGAGATGACTCAGAAAACACAGACATATCAACTAAGTCTTTAGACATTTCCATAGAGTAAGACTTGAGTCCATCTCCAGGTTCAGTGCCAGCCATTTCCATAGTGAACTGAACATGATAGGAGATGACTTAGATAAGGTGAAGCCGCAAAAAAGACTACACGTCCCAAAACAACAAAAGATATGCTATATCATCTCCCGAATTTGTTCATTAATGTCATGAATTAATCTAAATTATTAATCTAGTTATTGTAACATCTTCACTCAACCTAAGGAAGAGAAGAGCAAAAACAAAGACAAACACGTTGACATGTAGCTCAATATCATCCAATTTTGTCCCTTGAGAATTGGTTCATATGCACTACATAAAGGAGCTCTACAATCCAACAAGTCCTTTACACCACCCCTCATTGTTGACATCATAAACCTTAGTCAATGCTGATGAAATTAGAAAACTTTATTACCATGATTACTGCCCACTAAGAAATTAAACAATCTGAACACACCGTCACGTAACTCTTCTACTGTATGGTACACTTGAAAGGATTAACAAGCAGAATCATTTGCTATCAAGTTTGCAAAATGAAATAGATTCTTTACCATGGGAACACAATGATTACAGCAATTCAAATATTTTCATTAGGACATAGATATACTTCCTAAGAAATCTTCCAAGCACAAAGTTACGACTCACTCTGCCTTCAATTCCCACAAGCCAATCCAACAGGGAAAATTAAAAAATGCAAGTATCTAAATAATGGCAAAACAATAAGCCGCCTCATCTAAGATTTTTTACCAAAGAAGAGAAGGTCATTACTAACTTGCGGAATCACAATTCCTGAAAAGGGAAACCTGAGTTTGATACATGAAATTCAATTATCATTAGCAAAATTCACTAAACATAAGGAACACAACACAAAACATTACAGATAAAGAAAATTAATGAAACGAACTGAAAAATAATACTGCATTCCGTAAAAGAGTGACAATTTATGAAATGCAGAAACCAAAAGAAATTGTAATATGTGCAAACGCAACAAAACAAAACATGAATCAACTTGCAATCAAATGCATTCAGATAATCCTGTAGTGCAATATCACCATTAACCAAAACAACCCAAGACCACACAAATTAGTCCCTAGAAAAGACACAGCACAAAATCCAGCCAGCAAAAGGGAGAAAAAAGAAGAAAAAAAGACAATCTTGATTCAAAACAAAAGGACCCAAAAGCCCCAAGAAACCACACAACACAAATAAACCATCAAAGCACCAAAAATCAATCATGCATGGCAAAGAACAAACTCAAAACATGAACTTGAACATATCTGAAAAAAGAAAAAAGAAAAAAGAAAAAAAGATTGCATCTTTTTAACCTCAGTAGCAGAGCTATCATCATTGCCTTTAAGAGGGTCAACAGAGACAATGACTTTAGCCACAGGGCGTGAAGAGGCATCACCATCACCACCTTCACGTTCTTGGCTTCGTAGAAAACGCGAGACCATTGAAGGACATTTCATTAACCAAACAGATTTTTCAGCTTTGCTTGCATCCAAAAACCCACTAAGAACAGGACTTTTGTTGTTATTGTCATTTGTTAGGCTTTTGTTGTTGCTGCTGCTTGCCTCATCGTCCATGGCGCGAGAGACGAATATGGGCCAATGGGGTCTTTCTTTTTCTGCGAGTGAAAGAAACGGTTTTTGAGATAATTTTTTGGTTTTTAATTTTATTTATTTTTAACTGATACGAGACCGTAATGGGGATGGGGCAGTTTTATATAGCGAGAAGGAGCCACGTAAGGCGTGATCCAGCTGGAGTCTTTGTGTTTGGATTGAGGAATTAAGATTATTACCACCTAGGAATTAACTAAACCTGGTTTAGCTAAAACGACAAGTCGTCTGTTGCCACTTCATAGTGAACCCGAGGGGCTAAAACCCCTCTGATGTAACGAAGCTTGGGACTTTTTTGAGTTCTTTTCTCCTCTCTCCCTCTCTCTCAAATTGGTCTTCATTACTCTTATGGTAATCAGTCGATCTCACTTTCTTCTTTTATATGCAATTGTTGATTCATCTATGCAGTTTTTGATTATTATTATTATTATTTTTTGGTTTTTTATATAAGTAATGGTGGAATTGTAAGCGAAATATCAAAACCTCAGTTACTGATTGGGATTTTGATTTGTTATTACGAATTGTGTTCTTCTTACAGCTGCCTCGAAAGTGTAAAAGTAGATGATTTGTTGGAATCATGTTGCATTTTTGTATGAGGTTTATGTCCGGTTCTTTGTTTGTTTGATTATTAATAGAAGCAACAATGTTAAATTATTGCAATTTTAAATTTTGAGAAAGGAAAAGTTGGCAATGAGTTTGTTGTGGCATTTTGTCTTGATATTTATTGTTCGTGTAGGTAAAATGGAGAACGTAGTTGCTAATCAGCTCCCTGAAGTGGACTCTTTGCCAGATGGATTTGTTGACAGCTCGATGGAACCCATAGCTCCTCAAACTCCAACTTCAGAGCAAGAGAAGCCAGTCAGTGACTGCAAGGAGGATAGTATTGGTAAAGTTGGTCACGTGAGTGAAGCAATACCGGAGTTCCTTGCAAATGAGTCTCAAACCAGTCAAAATGGTACTGAGAAGTCTGAAAAACTGATAAATTTTCCCGTTCCATTGTCTGATTTTGAAAGATGTGATGCGAACTTGGTAGTAGAGCCTGATAAGGGTGAGTGGCAGGCAGAGGGTACACTTACTAAGCCTGTTTTAGATGATTTAGTTCCCCAGGCTTCTGTTGGGGCGTCCAGATGCAGTGAGGTAATCGAAGTTCAAGGGAGTTCTCAAAGTTCAGAGAGATGTAATTATCTTCTCTTCCATTGCGATTTCTTTCATATATCCATTTTGGTGTTGAGTTTCTGATTTTACATTTTGGCCCTTGGTCATTCCTTTGCAGCCACCCAAGGAGGTTTGGACTCACAAGCCACAGATGCAAAAGAAATATCTTCATCAGAAAGCACTGAGTTACAGAAAGGCAGAAAAGTAGTCAGTGACCTGCCTTGATTAGTTTAAACACTAAAGAGACTTCTAGTTAATTTTGTTCTTCTCATTTCCAGTTACTTACATGCATTTTGATCTCTGTGTGAAGATTGCATAGTTGTGTTTTCATTTGTTTCCTGTTCATATAATTCCTTGACAGTAAGTAAGGCCTGCCATCCTTTTCAGCCATCCAACTCCATACTGTCATGCCATGTTCACAATAACGTCATGCATAGGGTTGTATAGTATATTTTATTTTGTTTTCCTGGATATTTTTATGATCATTCCATATTTCCATCTATATATGAAGCATTACTTTTATGATTCATTGTACTTTATTTATTGCCTCAGGAAGCCACTGAAACAAAACGTAAGAATGCAAAACGAACCTTTAAATCGGAAAAGGAGTTTCTGGAGTTCACTTTGAAGTATCAACAAGTTCTTACTGAAAGAGATTCTGGTGAGTTTGAATGCTGTTTATAGTACCTGAAGGTTACTTTCATGATATTTGATAAACTTATAACATCTTTAAAGATAAGAAGTTTTGAAGCTTCTTTTAATTATTCCCTTCCCTATAATTGATTTGGATGTAGCGTACCTTGTTCAGAGTTGTTTTCAGATTTACATAATTACATGACGATATAACTAGAGCATGTTTGGTTGGTTTATAAGATTTGCACCCACAGTTATGAGAATTGCCCAAACCACAATTCGTGCAGGAATTTATGTAGAAGATGCCTTTCACTTGTCACCTGTGTTTGCAATATGTTGATCTCTGAAATCTAGAACATTACTCCATTTCATTTACAGGAAAAAAATTGTTGAACTAGTCCCTAGAAGGGGATAATTCCTTCTTTCTGAGAACAAGTTTGCCAAGGTCTTCCAGATTCCTGCCAAAGTACCTTCCTTTGCTTTCTCTAATGAAAGAAACTTGTCAGAAGCTGGTGACAAATGGATTGGACCATGGAAGTTGTTTGAATTTGCCATTGTAGCATTTTATACAATACAATCTTTGCAGGATCGGAGAGATAACTACATCAAAATTAAAACTATTTGTTATCAATTTTTGTTTGTAAAAATCATGACATCCATTGTGATATTCATTAAAATCTTTACAATTTTGAAGATAGATCAAACTCGTGCTCTAGTAACCTTTTCCCTTATTCTTTTGCAGCTATTGTTGTTCGTGATAAGCTTGAGTCGCTTTGCAGAGAGTTGCAACGCCAGAATAAAATGTTGATGGTATACTTGCTTTTAAATTGTATCTACGTTGAGTGAACTGTAAAGTTGTTACTTGTTTCACATGATGATACTTTACATGTGATTGATAATGTTTGGGTTAGTATTTTGACCATGCAAAACTTGTAGAAGTCCTTGACTTTTCCCAGAGTTGATGGCTTTTAGAGTTCTGTGAGCATCTATCCTTACTCTTGAAAATAACACTTCTTAAGGGAAAAAAAGTGGTTAAGTTCTGAAATTGTAATTTTCATCCACAAACTGTGCTTTAATTTAATTCAGTGCATAGTTTCTTGTACAAACTTGATATGAGAACTTGTTTTCCTAGTTAAGATAGAAACTAATGGGGTGATAATTTGACAGGATGAATGCAAACGGGTATCAACAGAGGGGCAAAATTTGAGATTAGATTTATCAACCAAATTCCAAGATGCAATAAAGGTTTGGTTGACATTTTTCAGTCAATTGAGTATCTATGACTCGTTATCAAAACCAAGTTGTAGTACACTTGCATTATTCCTTTTTCCCAGGAGGATGAATCATCAGATGCAACTGGAATAACTAGTTTCTTCTGTTTTAGGATGTGAGCAACAGGCTAGAAGAGCAGAAGGAGGAGTCTCTCACTCAGTTGAAGGAGAATGAGATGTAAGTCAAATACGAAATTCATGCAAAAATATCAAATTGTATAGTAATTCCATTTTTCGTTTGAACAGGATGAATCAATATATAATAGTAAAATTGTTACTGTAATGGTAAAAATTCTGGGTTTGACCATGAGGGTTCAGTTTCGAGTAGTAATCAGCCCATTTATTACAGATAGGACTGTCTCCAAATTCCCCTTTTCCAAAATAACTTCTGGTACACAACATTGTGAATGCATAATGATAGTAGTTGTATTTGATGATTGTCTTTCATGAATAAGCAGTGACGCAGAATGGAATTTGATTCCTTGAATCTTTTAGATTGTATGACCATGTAATAGCCATTTCATTATCATAAATAAGAACCACCAAAGCTATGTTACGAACAAAATTTTGTAATTTGTCTGTCTTAGTTTTTGTCCTCTGTCCTATTTGCCTTTAGCTCTTTTTCCTACCCTTGCACGCCCTTTTCTTTTTTTTGGCAGATCATGGATGCTTTCTTGGATTTATCCAGAACTGATTCACTCTCCACTATCAATGGTTCTCTAAAACGAATGAAGTGTGAATACTGTTGCTTTCAACATAATCTGCCTGATTTTTCATCCTTAGGTTAAGAAAAAAGCTGAAGGAATTTGCTGATCAGTATGCCATTTCTGAACAGCAAAATGCACAAAAGGTTTGAAATTTATGCTTTACTTGCATATGAAGGATGCTAATTGGTTCCTTGTTTTTAAGTACCTGTAAAGCTGTTTTTCATCTTGTTTTTGGAATTTGAATGCACAGTTAAAGCAGAAAACACTGGAACTTCAGATTGCTGATTTGAAGATCAAACAGCATGAAGAAAAATTGGTTCAGGAGCAGTCACAGATGAAAATATATGCAGAACAGGTGTCCCAATTATTGGCAACTGAAAAGAATTTGCGCTTGCAGTTGACAGCAGATGGAGAAAAGTTCCAACAATTCCAGGTCAACTTCATTTGATTTTATGTTTCAGCTTATATCATCATGCATGAATTTGAAATTGGATAGTGGATGTGAATTTCAAGTTTCATGTGGGGTAACACTTGATAAAAGGTGGTATGCTAAGAGGATTTTGAATTTTTGTTTTTTTTGTTTTTTTCCCTCCTCTTGTACAATATAGATGCCAACTGATCTAATTAGCTAAAATCATCATTAGCTTCCCTTAACAAAAAAAGAAAAGAAGTTGTAATTTCTTCTTAATCCCGATCTGCTCTCTTATTGTGATGACTTCGGCCTGTGGCAATTTATTTTCAAGTTAGTGAGTACTGTAATCCAACTCCCATAACTTAAATATTCCATGCATAATAACTTAACGTTGAGGGATCTAAAGTGCTAAGTTGATTTTGCAGGAAGCATTGGTAAAGAGCAATGAGGTTTTTGAAACATTTAAGCAAGAGATTGACAAGGTACACTTGCATTTCTCTTAAAAAGAGTACATACATTTGATCGCTGTGCCTATTCCTGATTTCTCTCTGTTTCAGTGCCTTTTGCATTATGTGTGTTGAGTAATCCTTTCTCCTTGTTATTATGGAAATAATAGATGGCAAAATCGATCAAGGAACTCAAGAAAGAAAATACATTCTTGAAGAGCAAGTGTGAGAAATCAGATGTTATGCTGATTGAGCTGGTTGAGGAGGTATAGTTGGCTTGCATTTGTAGAGTACATCTTTCTCAACTATTTGCAACCGGAAACCCTGGCTTTTTTATGCTTCTATTTATATGCAAGCATGAATTTTCACCAGTTCTTAAGATCCATGAGCTATTAAGCATGTTGCTCGCTTCAACTTCATGCAAGGGGTGGGTGACTGTCCATCATTGGAGGATGTTATACGTATCCCTTTGCTCTCATCAAGTGTAGAATTTAAGTTGTACATCAAGAAAGCCTTGTCCCAACTACTATTGGCTACCCTAATTATATGTGGTCGGCCCATACAAATTCTAGAAATTTCATAGCCCAATCCAGCAATTTTGGTGCAGTACTGAGTTACAACTGCAAAATCCTTCCTCTATAGTATCTAACGTCAAAATACAATGCACTTGAACTCTTTGGAAAGCACCTTGCAACTCTATTAACGTGTGCTTTTAGCTACCTGAAACATAAATCCCTTTGAATTCTTCTTTTTGGCAGCGAGAGAAGTTGAAGAAACAACTGGATAAAACAAAGAACCAAAAAGAAAAGCTGGAGTCATTGTGCCGATCACTCCAGGCTGAGAGAAAGCAGAATACTACTGAAAGCAACAGCTGTGATTCAGTCCCAACATGATTATTATTGATCCATGGGTTAATCTCATTGTGAATTTTGGAAATATTGTTTGGAATTTTATTATCTTTTTGTCAACTTTGGTTTCTTATTGAGGGGATTCATAGCGATCAAATGTAGCTCTTTATGAGTGTAGTTGTTTGCTTTTTTCAGGAAATGGTTCCCTTTTCTTTTCTTGGACCAAAAAAGTAGTTCTGTTATTGTTCTGCTTTAGGTTATTCTAGTACCTATGTTATGATTGGAATCCAAGGTTACTTTTGGACATTAGCTTACAGTTTTCGGGTTAGTCTGTGCACACAGCTTGAATTTGAAGTGCTATGAACAGGCTAGGGTTTCTTCGAGCCTTCTCTATTTGCTTTACCAATCACCACAAGAAGACACTCATGTTTGGTCGGTATTTTCTAGTAATCGGAACACGAATTGCCTCATCGTGAAATCCTTACTGCGCAAAGACCGTTATTTTCTTTTTCGCAAATTCGTCAAATAAAAGAGCGTGTCTCAGGTTACTTCCAACCATCTTCTTTATTTAAATTGTTAGAAGGTGTGGAATTTTCGGCGTTCTAGAATTGTTGACATATTTTTGTAAAAAGAAAAGAAACTTCTACACATTTCCTTTTTTTTTTAAAAAAAAAAAAACCAAGTCATGAGACGTCTTACAAAAGGTAATTGTTGAGCACATCTTTTTTTTTTTTTTTGGTATACAGCTTATATTCAATTGCGATTATATTATTTGTAAATTTTTATACTAAAATTATAAAATAAAATGCACCACGGATAGAAATTTTAAATTAGCATATAAAATGCACCACAGAGAGAAGTTTTAGTTGTGTCCATCGGAACTGAGTTCATCTTTCCAATTTGATTAAATCTAATTAACTCTTTTAATTTTTTATTTTTTTTAAACGGAAACTGGCCTCAGACACTAAAAAAGGAAATTAGCACACACTTCCCACGCATAATTAATTCATACTCACAAAACCGGTGAATCCTGCAAACTACTTCATAATGGCCAAACAGTCGAGCACATTAATTATTTTTTTTTTTACATTCACACGTAACCTTTGCAAACCAGGTTATTTAGACGGAGCAGGAGTCGAAACCGAAGTCTTAAATCTATTGATTTATTCTCATAATCTATCTTAGGAAACCAAAACAGTTTTTTCCATCGAATCAATAAGACCATAACGCGTGGAAAATAAATCAACGGCAGGAGAAGGGTGTCAGAGGGGGCCTTGGAGAGGTACCTCACCTACTACTATTAATTTTTAACGGCAGCTGAACTGTGAGTCAATGCAAACGGACAATACGAGATTTGGGCTGCCACGCCGAAAAGACACTGCCAACGTCAGCAGAATCCATGAAAATGTTTTTTTATTTTTCTAGTACTTACTCACAAACTCCAAAACGCCACCAGCTGTCCTGCAATCATTTGTTCAGAAAACCTCAGCCAATCGTATCACTTCATGATAACCCAAACAACAACTCCTGCATGCACCAAATCCCAACCCGGACTTGTACACAAACTCCAAAACGTGAAATTTATAGCCGTTTCGAATCCGCTCTTCTTGTATGTAACAACCACCACCTGAACCATTTGTCACTGCAAGATTAAGACCCACCTTTCTCCTCTGTCTGTCTGTCTCTCTCACAAAAAGTTTTTAAGGTCATTAACTTTACTGATTACCAGAAACCCTAACATAGTAGAATCAGTGCTGAGTTCCTTCTCTCTTTCTCTTCCTTTCAAATTCAAGTCAAAGTGAGGTCAATTGTTTTAACCATACCTTTTCTTTTAGTGATTTTATGGTTTTGGGGCTGAATTCTGTGGTTTTTTTATTTTGTTTTTCAGGTTTTTTGGTTGATGGAGATGGATTTGATGGCTAGCTGCAAGGTAATTAGTAATTTACTGGTTTAGTATAATCATCAGCGATGGTTTTGATCAAGTTTTTCTTTTGTTTTTAATTTGGATGTGGTTTGTTTGAATGTTAATTATGTGCTGACACATTTTTGTGGTAAACAAGAATTTTATTTTGTTATCTTATATATGCATGCATGTATGAATTTGTGCTAATAATGATTATATACTTAAATTGCAGGGAAAGTTGGCATATTTTAGAATTAAAGAGCTTAAGGATATTTTATCTCGGTTGGGTCTTTCAAAACAAGGAAAGAAGCAGGTATCTTTCTTTTTTCTTTTTCTTTTTTGTTGTCATTCCTGGCTTTATTTGCTAAGATTTGCAGGTTTTATTTATTTCTAACTTGTTTGTTGTCTCAATAATTATGCAGGGTCTTCTTTTTTCCTGCATTTTAGTCATGATTATTTTTCTTTTTGTGCAGGATTTAATGGACAGAGTTTTAGGTTTGCTCTCAGATGATGAAAGTGAGTTATCATTGCAAGTTTTGTCATTTATAGAATGTTATTATTTGCCCTTGGTACTGTTAGTCAGGGCAGGTGTCCATCACTTGGGGAATCAGCCTGTAGGTTTTACTTTTCTTTTGTTCATTTTAAATTTTTATTTCATATGTGTCTTTTGTGCCAATCTTACTAGGAAATCAGCTTGTAGGTTTTACTTTTCTTTTGTTCATTTTAAATTTTTATTTCATATGTGTCTTTCGTGCCAATCTTACTATGAAATCAAATCCTCCCTTCTGTTGTCATGAATTCGTTCTCTCTTGTTTAGAACCATAACTCTTTATTTACATGCCTCAGCACAGTTTAATTCAACTCTTGATAAATGTGATTATACATGTGTGAAAACTTTGTGCAGTTTGCCCTGCTCGCAGCTTTGTAAAGAAACAGCAGATTGGAAAGGAAGCAGTAGTGAAAATAATTGATAATGCTTACAGGTGTTTATTCTAATTTCATGATATGTGCATGAAATCCTGATGTCTTTTCTGGATTCTTTCTGTGTGTGTCTATCATTTTCTGGCTTGTTTTTGTACAAATGCTATGATTTTCTAATAATAATACTTCTAGTTTCTTCTAAACCTATATATTTGCCATCTATTTACTTGAAAAAAGTGTTATTTCCCTTCTTTTTTTCATATGTTTTGTGTTAAACCAATTATTTTGCCCAGAAAAATGCAGCTCACGGATGCTTCAGATTTAGCAGCAGAGGCTCCAAGTGGCTTAGATATTATGAGTGTTAAAGAAGAACTTGAACATTTCATTAAGCCGGAGAAGAGGATTCGTTGCCCTTGTGGAAGCTCACTGCCTAACAAATTCATGATACAGGTAAGGTCAAACAGTGGTAATTTTCTTTTCTGAGTTGGATGAACTGTGGAAGAACTCTGCAGTCATGCTTCATTGCATATCTAGTTGTTTGTTTTTATCTCTGAGTTTTAGCAGGAAGAGAAAGCAGCTATGAAGTTGACCGTGTTACACAGCACCTTAGGATTTCGAGCACTTACAATGCCTGTTTATTTGATTTTTGCTTCCCTAGTAAAATTTGGAGTCTTGTTTCAAATTCTTACTGGGGCCTTTTCTTTTTGCAGTGTATAGATTCAAAATGTCAAGTGCAGCAACATATTAGTTGTGTCATTTTTCCGGAGAACCCTATGGACAGTGACCATCCAATTCCATCTGTATTTTACTGTGAAACATGTCGAATTGACCGAGCAGATCCGTATGTATTTTAGTTATCGTTTTGTTCGGTCATATATGTGTAATAACTAGTGAATCTTGTCTAATTAGTCAGCCAGTTATAGCCATCATCATTTTTCCTTTTCTGATGCATAGTTAGTTTCTTCTAATGGTGTACGACCATGGAAATGTTTTTGTATCCACTATGGATGTTCTTCCCTGTATGGAGGTACATAAGCTAATAATTGTTCTGTATGGATGTGACTTTGAAATTGTTATATTTAATTGTTGCTTGCTATGTTCCAAAACTAAAAAGTAGTTCTGAGGTAGAATGAGAAGTGGATAAACTCTCTATTTTCAACTAGCAAAGAGGGTCTCCATTTTCACAGAATAAAATGGTATAATCATACCAAAAAGGCAGGCGAAATTATTATTTGGGACATACTTTTGCATATATTGCAGGCTTTAAGTTAAATGTCCAGATGTCACATGACAGATTTGATCAGGTGCTGTTTTCATGCATGATAATAATGATTTGCCATGAGAAATTTCATGTGGATCCCATGTTTTCCTTTTTGTGGGTGTATGCCTTTGCATGTTCCATATGCGTGTTTAGATTCATATAATTGTGCATCTACAGATACACATTCATAAACATGCATCTTCTGACAAGGGATGTCGCCAAAAATGAATTTGTGTAATTTCTGGCTGCTTCTTATTTTGATGATTTTAGCAGGAGCGACTGTAAAGAATGAGTTGGTCAGAGTGCCCATCAAATTCCTTTCTAATACTAAGCAATTCAGATGACCTAGAAAATGATTATTTAATGCGTATGATTGGTTTGGATATCTCAATGAGCCTTTATATTAGTTTTTGGTTGTAGAAATGAGTTTGCTCAGTAGAGAAAATTAGAATGCAGGTAATATATATATATGCTTATTGAGTCCATGTTAACTACAGTTCACCCTACATGTTGCTTTTTTCTAGCAATTGATGGAGCGGCTCTTGATCTGAGTGTTTGTTGAGCATATTGTTTCCTTTGTAAGAATTGATGCATGACCATTACCAATAAGTGCTATGGAGTAGTATTGGTGATTCATGTTTGTTTCTGACTTTTTACTTTTGTTTTCTTTAGATTAGATTTGCAAAGGGTTCTACTATATTAACATGCTTCCTGTGGACAGGTTTTGGGTTACTGAAGCACATCTATTATTGCCTGTGAAGTTAGTGAGTTCAAATATTTCAGTGGATGGGTGGGCTCTCTCTCTCTCTCTCTCTCTCTCACACACAACCACACACACATGCGCGTTCACAACCGTAGAATTAAGTGATACAACTATGGAGAAGGATGGATGGTGGGGGAAAATAAATTATCTAATCATTAATCAAAGAAACACGCAAAGCAAATATAATGGGGAGTGTACACATGACAAAAAATAATGAGCCATGGAATTGATTTTATTAGCAGTATCACTGTTGTTATAGCTTTTTGGATCTATAATTTAGCAGTGTTTTTTATTTTTTGGTAAAGGTTTTCATTTTGTTGGTTTTTATTTATTTATTTCATATGCCATTTTGCCTCACTTATTTTCTCTATTTATTGGCTCGTGTTTTTGTAATTTATTATATTCTGATTGTTTTCAATGTTCTGCAGTAATAACACACTGCAGAGTGTGGAAACAACTTTTCAATTGACAAGATCAGATCAACTCCTACTACAGAATAGTCAATATGATGTTCAGGTTGGTTTCCTGAATGGTGTGTTGATTGCAAAATATTCACTATTGATTAAAAGAAAAGGCATGCCTCCAGAGTTTCTTTGTATACAGATAAATTTACATGCTCAAGTTATTTTCATGTAGGCTTGGTGCATGCTTCTCAATGATAATGTTTTGTTTAGGCTGCAGTGGCCACTGCATGCAGATTTACAGGTTAATGGTATGCAAAGATCTTTTTTCCATTATGCATTAATGGGTACATCAGCAGCTTTATGACCTTTCTCACGTGTTATAGAATTATTAATATGTGCCGAACAGTTTCTTCTTTTACACTATTTTATGTGGGTGTAACTTTGGTTAAGCATCAGGCTGTCCTTAAGTCAGGCTCAAAATGGTTCCATAAGTCAATAATGACCAGGCTTTCCTTGGCCATGAAGTCGATGAATTGCATGTTGTTGTTGCAACCCACAAGGCTTCTTTCTTGGATAGAATTCTGGAATTAACAATAGTGTTATATCATAAACAATAATTGATAAACAATAATGCATCACACAAGGATCTTATGACCATGATAGGGTCTATCAGGTGCAAGACGTTGGCTCAAACAATTAACTTTAGTTGGTTTAAGGTCATAAGGTGCCAGTGGTCAATTATGTATTTATTTAACTGAGAGAATATATGGCACCTTGCACTATGACTTGGTCGTTTAAGCTTGCCACATAAGGACCCACCCCTCTAAAGACCTGATATTATTTATGTAAAAGAGGCCAAACAGGTGTTTTGGGAATGTTTGCCAAGTATGCTCATTTCTCAAACCCTCCAAGCAAGTGGATTCATTTTGTTTTTAATTTTTTGGCTGGCAAGCCAGTGGAGCTGATATTTCTGAAGTGTTATTTCTATTTTTTTTCAAATGGTATGCAAAATCCCAGTTGACAGATCTTCATCCTTTAAATGCAGGCATGCCCGTGAGAGTGCATAATAGGCTGGGATCACAGTATCTTGGTGCTAATGGCCGTGATGATGGTGCACTAGTGAGTCCATTCCACATTCTCCTTTCTCATGAGATGATTTTGAGTGTTAATATCCTACGCAGCATTTTCTGTGTCCATTTTTTTCTGTAACTTTGTATTTGATTAGATACAGTGTTTGGGTTAAATTCGAGCATTCTTTCATTACATGTTTAATTGAACTTAACATTGGTACTCTTAATGTCAGATCAAATTATGCATTGGAGAGGGAATGAATAGAGTTTCTTTATCAGGATGTGATTCTCGCATTTTCTGCTTTGGCATCAGACTCGTAAAGCGACGAACAGTTGAACAGGTATTCACACCTTCCATTCATGTGATTTACTTGTTGGGACTAATGGATTTCTCATCTTTTTGAAGGTTATATCGATTAGAATCAATTTTGATGGAACATTATTAGTGCCAGTTTTGTAGTAACGTTATATTACTGTCACCTCTGTTTGCCTGCAGACAAAATGTAGCAACTGGTGGCTATTTAATAGTCATCCTTAAGTTTCTTAATTTTGTTTTATATATATCTGTTTGCACTCATCCATGCTATGTCTCATTCTTACATCCATTGAAGCACTGTGTTTTGAATTCTATGTCACTAAATGTTTTTCCTCTGTTGACCAATTTACTTCCAAAGGTTCTCAATCTGATTCCCAAAGATGGTGAGTCTTTTGATGATGCACTTGCTCGTGTTTGTCGTTGCATTGGTGGTGGGATGGGTATTACAAATGAAGATAGTGACAGTGATTTGGAGGTGATCGCAGAGGCAATTACAGTTAATCTCCGCTGTCCTGTGAGTATGCATGTCTTTTCTTTTTTATGCTTTTTGATGTATTTACCACATGCCATGAAGTTTCATTTGACTATGATATGGATAATGTCCTATGATCCTTGGCAAAAGATTCATTTGTCTTTTGATCTAGCATAATTTTGATGAGATAACCACTGTTTATAAAAAAACCTAGTGGCTTTTTTCTGTCTAATCCTTTGTAAGCATGTCATTATGGCTCACAAAAATTTTTCAATGAGAAAGACCAGCTTTGGTTGAGAATATTATTCATTTCAATTTACATTTCTTTCCTTTTGTGGTTTGGTGCCCATTGGTAATCTTTTTAACTGATCATGTCTACATGGTAGATGAGTGGCTCTAGAATGAAGATTGCTGGCAGATTTAAACCTTGTGTTCACATGGGCTGTTTCGATCTTGAAACTTTTGTGAACCTAAATCAACGCTCTCGCAAGGCAAGTGATCTATCATACATATATTATGATTTGCTTTTTGTATTTGATTCAAAAGTTTATATATTTAAGTGAGGTGTTCTGCAATTGCAGTGGCAGTGTCCTATTTGTCTTAAGAACTACTCCTTGGAGGATATCGTTATTGATCCTTACTTCAACCGCATCACAAATATGGTAGTTCCTATGCTTAATATCTTAAACTTTTTGGACTGGTTAGCGCGAAGATTAAAATGTATATGTGCTTATTGGTATAGATGGGTCATTGTGAAGAAGACATAACTGAGATAGAGGTGAAACCTGATGGTTGTTGGACTGCAAAGACAAAAGTTGAGGTTGGTGATCTTGGGCAATGGCATTTTCCTGATGGTTCTCTTTGTGCTCATATGGATGAAGTTGCTCCCTGTTATGAAACCTCGAGGCAGATTGAGAAGGGAGATGGCTTGACAGCACATGGTAATCCTGAAATCGACATTAAGAATAATCTCAGTGGAATTATGCAAGGAAGAAACCAAGAGCTTGCTTTTTATTCCTCCAAGAATCAACTTGACAAAAATTTCATAAATCATGGCCAAAGGACAATAACAATGAGCAGTAGCACCACCGGAAGTGGCAGGGATGAGGAGGACCCAAGTATAAACCAGGATTACAGTGGGAATGTTGAAATATCTCCCAGTAGTGTCAATGAAATCAACTCTATCTGTCACTATTTTGACCCAACACTTGCAATAAACAATGGTAGTTCTGTGCCATCAGGGAATGCTGACATCATTGTTCTTAGTGATTCCGATGAAGAGAATGTCAATTTAGCTCCTCCCGAAACTGTCTATGATACTTGCACAGTGAATGGGAGTGGTTCTTTGTTGGCTGCCAATCCTGGAATAGCAAACTCATACTTAGAAGATCTAGCTCTTGATGCAGGTGCAAATTCTTGTTTTGGTCTCTTCGATACAGCTGTCAATGATGTCGGGATGTCTAACTGGTCATATTCTTCTGGTACTCAAGCTGGTCCCCATTTCCAACTATTTAATACAGACTCGGATGTATCAGATGCTTTTATTGATCTGGATCATCCTTCCATTGGTTGTACTGCTCCAATGAATGGTTGCACACCGGCATCAATGCCAGCTATAACTTCTGGTGATGAGGTCCTAGATTCTTTGGCCTGTGACGCCAATGTTGACATGGATGTTGGCTTGGTTGATAATCCTATGAGATTTGTTGGTGAGGACCCCTCATTACAAACCTTTCTCCCAACTCAACCTGTGTACCAGCCTCCTGTGTCAAATTGTGTCCCTACTGAGGATTGGATTTCCCTTAGCCTTGGCAGCACCAGTGAGAGTTTTGGCAATCACACCAGGGATCGTGTTCAGGGTGCTGCCAAAAATGGGGTTGATTTGAGAAACCAGTTAGGATCAAATCAAGGTGCCTGATTGATATTCTTACATTGTTTTAAGCAATATTTTGGATTAGATGGTAATGTCGTTGCTTTATATTCCAACTGATTAAAATCCCTGTTGAATTTCTAACATTTCAAAATTTCTATAATTTTCTCTTATATAAATTTGTTTCAAAGATGTATCATAGGGAGCATAATGATTTTGGGATCAAGAAAATCTTATCTTGATCCTTTGAGGGTCCTGAATTGGTATCTATGCCAATTTGTTAAATCATAATTGAATGTGACAATCTGAAGTGTTAACATGGTGATTCTTGCTAATTTCTTTCTTCTTTTTTTGGGCGAATGATATTGCTAGCATACTTTAAAGTAGTTAGATACTTAGATCAGGTCATGGGTTCTCATGTGGTGCCGTATCTGCAATCAAGCTCCTTAAAGTTTCATGAGTGATCATTAAGTAGGCGTTTAAAACCAGTTACTAATCTTTGGACTTGGTCATTTTTCCCCTTTGGTAGAAGCTTTTTGTTCTAAATCAAGATTATGGCTGCAGTTGGGTGCCAACTTCATGATGCTGTATAATTTTGTGACCTATAATATAGATGCTTTCGGTTTTATAGTTGTGTGTAAATGTATGGGCTGAGTTAAATTTCTAGTCATTTCTGGATTTCGGTAAGGTGTTAACTTTGGGCCTTTGCAGCTACTTCAGTTGCAGCTCTAAACGATGAAGCTAGGACTAACAGGAAATGTAACAAGAAATTTTCAGATGGCCCTTTCTCATTTCCTCGCCAGCCACGGTCTGTGAGACAACGTGTTTATTCTCAATAGATTCTGACGGAAAAGAAGGGAATGGACATTGTTTGATTCATCGGGAAGGCTAATAGCCACCAATATGATGCTCCCTATTCGTGTCGTTTAGTCTTTTTCTAGAGATGGAAGCAAATAATTTCCATCTAGCACGAGCATGTGAAGCCTATTGAACATGATTGCTATTGGATTGACGCTGACGTGCCACATGATTTTACGGCATTAATGGTCTGCTTTTTTTAATGGTGAGCATTGATCATACGTTTAACGTTTTAAATTTCAACGTTGACTGATGTATTGTGATTTTTAGCTTCTATATTTTACACATGCCTCTGCATCTATTTATATGTGAACATGTGCACTGTGAACGTGTTATAAGCTTAATATTGGGTTATTGTAGTATGCTTCGTAGATACTACAATTGAACACCTTTAATGCTAGTTAAATGATTTACAATAGTATGACTAATATAGCCAAAGAAAAACTACTAATGAGAATTTCTAAATGGAGTGTGTTTCTATTTATTTGTTGTTTTTAGTAGAATTCCTGGATATGCATGTTATCATTCATCTGCGAGTTCTCTGATGATAACCTTGTCTAAAGACGGATAGAAGATGATTGACATTTTGAGAAATGACTAAAGCTTGAAGCATGCCACAGTTACGCTTTTGATAATCAGCAATGGTTGTGCAATTGTCTTGAATAGAAACATATATATGATGGGATTGAATCTTTTGCTAGTGTTGAAGAATATGCGGATGCTTATTAATGAGCCTACCATCTTTGATAGATTTGTATCAAATAAGTTTTGACTCTATTATGTAAATCAGAGTATCTAATGATATTTGCTCTCTCTCTCTCTCTCTCTCTCTTTAGGTACCCTGTTTTTATCTATTATTGCATCTTGGCGTTGAAGGTTTGGCAGGTCAGACTCTATCTTGTCTTAATGTGTTCTACAACTGCTAATATCAGTCTGAAAAAGGGAGTGAAAATCACGTGTTTCTCTGTGGTGGTTAATCTTAGACATCATTGGTAGCCTTCTTTGACAAAAAAAGTAAAACAATAAATTTGCTCTTTAAATTTTTTCAGGAAATTTCAGAGCTGAAGAAATCTGCCTATTTTCTCTATTTGTCTGCCAGTGGAGCCATGGGATGGGACAGCATGGCGAGTTGCCAAGCATATAACATTTATTGCATTACTGTGTCAATAGGGTGAAAAATGGGATAGGCATTTTGCACCATAGAATTTATGATTATCTGTAGGCAAACGAGGAAGGAGATGAGCAACCAACCGGAAGTGGGGCAGGTTGCTCCCTTCAGTTGCTAGAGGTGGTTAAATTTGATTTCCGTTTCTTTGGGGACTTCTGTGTTGCAACATTGGAAGGCATGCAATATGATATCAGGATATCGCGGAAGAAGGTTTTGAAGTAGATGCAACCAACAGCAAGCAAGGTGGACTTGCACTCAACAATGAAAGAGGCTATAAATGGGGTTCATTGCACTGCTAACAGGTGTGTAGTTTTAGAAAAATCAGTTGTAAGCTTGAATTGGTATTTATCAGATGAAGCCAGTCGTCCCTAATTTGATTTGTGGAATTGTGTTCCAACATCTTTTTACCTTGGGGTTGCTCTGATAAGTGAATTTCACCATTGTAGATATCTCTCAGATCATCAAATTTAAATTGTTTGTTTGTGAAAATGCAATTTCACCATTGTAGATATCTCTCAGATCATCAAATTTAAATTGTTTGTTTGTGAAAATGCAGATAAGTTGGGCATTCAGATGATTTCTCTCTCGTGGTTTTGAAGTTGAGCATGGAGAGACTGCACAAAAAAATAACAATAAAAACATACAAGGTTGATTCAAGTTGTTATCCGGCTACTTCAATGATTCAGCAGTTCTCTTCATAGTCTAAAATCCTATAGGCAGAGCTATGACATGTAAAGGATTATCGAGTAGCGCGTGACATGTAAAGGAGTATTCAGTAGCCCCTTCTAACCTTCTCTTAAATGCTATTCCCCTCATTGTGTAATCTTGGGCAAGGCAAAATTGTAATGCATTTGCTCAAAGCCACCAATTTTACTGAAGTAAACACCTAGGTTTGATTTTCTGGGATGTTCTTTCTTTGAGATCTTCGGTTCTTCAAAGTCTTTGCTATTCTTTATGCCTCGTCTAATTTGCTTGTTGCACTGACATGCCTATGTTTGTGCCTCGTCTCTACGATTTGCTAGGTTTAATTTTCTTTCAATCTTTTTTCCTTTCCTGGAATTCATTTGTTTCTTTCTGTCTTGAGTTTGTAGGTGAGCAAGGTCAAGGCTCTTTTTTCTTGTCAAAAAATGTTGCATAACTGGGATTTGAAACTGTGATCTCAAGTTTACGGTTCATTCGAAAAAAAAAAAAAAAAAAAAAGAAACTTGATTTTTCACTAGACATCTCCAGGACCTCCAAAATTTCACACTAGCGTATGGTAGTTATTGCTGCATGTTAAACTTATGAAATTATATTTGTAGCCCTCCATTTCAAACATGGTTTTATTCCATCTCCACCGTCCATCTGAAAAACCCCAAAAATCACAGCCATGCAATCGTTATGTATGAGTTCATTTTATCCATTCCAACCAAGCCTCCATCTTTTGCCAATCTCCTCTTCACCCAGAACCTTTGCTGCAACTACACCCGCCACCACCACACTCCGACGTCGACCGTCGACCACTAAACATCTTTTTATCCCAATCTCACCTAACCATCCTCCTCTATCTTTATCCTTTTATATCTTTATCCTTTATTCAACAAAGATAAGAAATTTTTTTCTCTCTTCCTAGCCTCCTCATCCTCTCTTTCTCAGTTTGTCTGCACACAAGATTTTTTGATGTTTGATTCTCGGGTGGCTTTGGTAGCTACTGGGTTCGTTAGTGAAGACGACGAGGGTGGGTGTTGGCTCGACTGGGTTTGTGAGAGAAGACGGTCAAAGGATCTGTGGAGGCAAGGGACGAAGTCGCTGGGTTCAACTGGGTGTGGTGGCTGCTGGCTTCGTGAGAGAATACGGTGAGGATGGGTGTTGGCTCGACTGGGTTTGTGGGAGAGGAGGATGAGTACTGCTCTGTATAAAGTCAGCTTTGGTGAAGGAATGCAATATATTATACAAGTCAAATGTTGTGTGGATGAGAAGAAACACTTCCTGCAGCAAGTCTAATGTTGCGATTTTTTAACCGCTGATCGAAGCTATAGCTGGCTCTGTCTGACATCTCTTTGTTGATCCAGAAGGAAGAGTCAGAGGTTTTGGTGGCTTTGGTGCTCCAGCTTCTATAGGAATATAAATTGCCTTTTGAACATTTTTCTCTTTTATTCCCTTTCTTCAGGGCAAGGTATTGTTATTATCTTTGGAAGCCATTCACCATTTACATATCTTCATGTTTGTCTTAGCCATCGTTCATGTCACTTTCTGTGTTCTCACCCTTCTTTTTGGAGGTGCAAGGGTGAGAACCTAATACGATTCTTCATTTTCTGTTTAAATCTTAAGCTGGTCAGTTTACTTAATTTTTCTTTGTCAATGCATTATGATTCATTTGCAATCAATTTCCATGATCTAGATTCGTCAATGGAAACCTTTGTCTTTGATATTTTATAATTCATCTGTCGTTCATTTTCTGGATAAAACATTGGTGCTCACCAACTTGTAGTGCTGTCATTAAAAGTACGAATACAAGCTCATCAAACAATGCCTTATTCCAGATTAACTTCCGCCTAGCTTGAAGGGTTGAATTTGCTCCCCTTCCCAAATTATTGGAAAACCATTTTAGCAGTCAGTGTTCCTCATTGCTTCTAATATGTGAGCTGCGATCATTCAGTTTTGAAAAAAAAGGTCACCATCTCCAACAACATACTTTTATCAAGGAGCATTTTTTGGGCATTAGTAAAAACTCAGCTCAGTGTGTATGGTTGGTAAGTCTGTTTTGTTTTTTCCTCTTCTATTTTATATTGCTTCCTTCTTAAGCATTTTAGAGTCTTTCAATGGGAGCAATGCACATTTAAGAGGCATGACATCATGTGGTTTAAGAACCTCTTGGCCTCGGCTTGGAGTTTGGAATGGATTAACATGTTTATTCATATTCAGAAGTTATGCCAAACCTGGCTCTAATTAGAGAAAACTTTTCAAAACAGGGTATTCATTCTCTACTAGGTAAAAACCATCAATAGTTCTACCGTTACTTAATAGAGGTAGACCAAATCCTAAACCTTGTTCTATACTGTAAATATAGAGACTCTCACCTTCCTAATGACAATTTCCATGCACCAAATACAACTAAACTTTTGTAATCATTTTGTATTAGAGGGATAATTTTTCTACATTTTATTAATTTTTTTATTTTCTTAAAAGTACAAGAAATTAAGAAAAAAATATAAATTCTCCATTTATATTTAATCATATTAATGGTAAATGGATTAACTAGCCAAACATCTTGGAGCTTGAGGAAATCATTGTTTGTTTGTTTAGGTTCCATATAACATGTGGGCTTTTACCAGCAGTGTTTGAATTCTAAGCTGCTGTCATGTCTATCTTCCACCAGCCTCTACTTTCCTCAAGCGCTCTCCTGTTGCTTTTGCTGCTTCTACCAAAAACAAGACTAATAACAGAGAGATGAGCTCTTCTTTCTCTTCTTTTTCTCATTCCAATAGAGGGTACGTTTCTTATTCTTTCCTTGTATATTATTTTTTTCAAACAATTTTTTGCCCACTTGGGTTAATTTGATTGTCTTCGGAAAAACAAAATTGGTCAGTGGTGGCAGAGGATGAGGTTTAGAAATGCAAGACGATAGAGAAAGATCAAGAGGCCATGGCTGTGGCGGCTGCAACGGTGGTGGAGGGGGATCTAGTAAGGATAAAATTGATGCTCTTGGCAGACTACTGTAAGCACAATCTTAAAGATTACAATTTTTTCTTTTTTCTTTTTTGTTATTATCGTCTCTCATTTTTTGTTGAAATTATGATTTTTTAGTGGAAACAAATGGTGAATTATGTGAACCAATTTTGTTGATTTTGTGTGTTATTGAACATTTTCAGGACGCAGACTTTGCGTCATATGGCTTCAGAGTTGAACTTGAATATGAGAAGTGATGGATTTGTCAAAGTTGAGGATTTACTAAAACTGAATATGAAAACATATGTTAATGTTCCATTAAGATCACATACTATGGATGATGTTAAAGAGGTTGGTTCTGTAAAATACTTATCTTTGCATCTTTGATCCTGTTGGGCAAATGGATTTGATTGAGTAATGCTTTCTTTAGGAAAACAATGTGGGTTAAAAGAAGACTATAGCTTGGGGTAGTCTTATTCGGGGATGTCTTCGAAGATTTGATTGAGTAATGCTTTCTTGTATGGATGGAAAATTTACTTATTTGATTGTTTCAAAGATTGTCTAATAAAGAGTGATGAATGATTGCCAAGAATGTTTTTAAATTCCTATGGCGTGATCTTATAACCTTGAGTTGTGTTTTTAGACTGTTGGTATTTTACCATAATCGCTTTGGAATACAAATTTTTCCAACCATAAAAGCACCAATGGGTAGGAAGTTGTTATGTTTGGAGGTATGATCAATTACTAGCTTACTCTCATAGTCATGATGGCTATGTGTATATCTTTGTACCAGGTAGAACATTTTTTTATGAATAAAAGGTACATGTATTTATATTCTACTTATCCTGCTGTTGACGAAATGATGTTTGTAATTGCTAAACTTACCATAGAAGGTTTGTTCTGTAAAACTTACCCAGCACGTGGACCTCGTATTATTTGAAACTTCTTGTCACTTCACACAATGAAAGTTGGATACCGTTTTATGGTTTTTTGTTTTTTAATAAACCACCCTGAGATAACATCTTTTGTCATTGCAAATTTCAGTCTGTTAGAAAAGATAATAAGCAGCGATTCAGCCTCCTGGAAGAAGGCGGGGAGCTTCTGATACGTGCTAACCAAGGCCACACAATAAAGGTCATAAATATTTACTTTGAAACAAGAATATATTCATCAGAAAGGTTATTTTTGTGATTATAGGTTATTTTTGTGATTATTAGTAAAACTTGGACATTCAAATATGTGCCTTAAGAGAGATTTTGCAAAAATAACGTAACAAAATTTGGTTCACGCTCTTTTGCTGGCTTAGCATGTTAGGAAATTCCTGACATACTTATGCCTTTAATGATCGCTTAGAGCATTGGTAGCAGAGCAAAATAATTAGCTTAACTTATATGGAACATATCTGAAGATCAATCTGGACGAAAATGAGAACTTGGGATGTATTTGTAGTGTTTACATCAGGATTAAAAATATGGACCAGGAGAAAATTTAATGGTGGGTATGACATTTATGTTTACTTTGAAATTTTATACTTTGTTAACTTTGACATACATGTTCCTCATGCTTGTGAACATCAAAACTGTGTGTTACAGAACTACCTATGTCTCCTGTTTTTCCTGATACGGTTTGAATTTAAATGCTCATGCATGTCATTTATGGTAAAACAAGAATGCAAGTTAGGTCTTAGTTCTCTGTGTCTGTTAGCTTCATTCATTATGATGTTTTCATTCTCTGAATGAGTTTATGATGCATGCGCAGACAGTTGAATCTGGAAGTCTGCTAGAACCAATCCTTTCACCTGAGGAAATTACAGGTAAAAAAATAAAAAATTACTATGATATATCTATCCTCTCAAATAACACCTTTCCATTTTCCCTCTTATATTAGGTTATTATTGTTTCACAATAAGACTAGGAGAAAATAATTACTAATGCTATAAGACCTTTCCTTTTCCTCCTGCAGTGAGCGTACATGGAACCTATAAGAAGAATCTGGACTCAATATTGGAATCTGGTTTAAAGCGCATGAAGAGATTGCATGTTCACTTCTCATGTGGTTTGCCAACAGATGGTGAAGTGATTAGTGGTAAGATACACGAGGGAACTTACTTTTTCATTGTTCTTCTGCTAGTCACCACTTTAGTGTTCTGGAGATATCATGCTATCATTGTCTTTTAACATTTGTAGCTTCAATTTGAAAGAATCCCAGTGATGGGAGAAGGGAGAGAATGCTTTAGTTGCTATGCAGCAGTATGTTTTGTTTGTGCATGTGACAATTGTTTCCCAATCTGAACCCTTGATTTGCTTATGTTCAAACAATCAAGTCTATCCAATTGATAAATCACTTAGAAAGCATAAATTTTAAGACTCTGGATGACTTCATATGATATATTTGATTTTTTTTTTTTCATCTTTCAGGTATGAGACGAGATGTTAACTGTTTGATATTTCTTGATGTCAGAAAAGCTCTGGAAGGTATAACATTAATACACCTCTGAACTTTTCAAGCAAACAATAAGTTAGATGAAATACGATTACATATTTAGTTCAAAATTTAGTATAATGGTGGACAAGCACCGATGATAACTGATTCTTTGTTCTGTTTTTGCAATTATGTTTGATTTCAGAGGGAATGAAGCTTTTTACATTTCAGACAATAGGGTGATTTTGACTGAAGGTTTTGATGGCATCGTACCGATCAAGTATTTTGAAAGAATAGAATCATGGCCAGATAGACGACCTATATCCATCCAGAACTAAATTTGATTGTTGGTGGTCTTGGCGTAGCGCCACGCCGCGCCCCTCCCCGCCCTTCTTTTGGATCCATGGGATGTTAATTTACATTGAAAAGTTGTAGTTCTTGAGCTGCCATGACATGCAAACTCGGCACATATATTGTTTGGCGCCATTGTAAGTGGATGTTTTATATCAATCAAAAGGAAGGTTATCAAAAAATAAAGTCGAAGCTATCATATTGATGTTATGTATGCGTTTGTTTGTCAATGGCATGAAAATGGAATTCTTCAAACCCCAAACCCTCGTAACTTAGACCATCAATTGTGGGTGGCCAGATGGAGAGACATGTTATTGAAGAGCACGCGCAGACTCCAAAATCCAATTACACGTCGTTTTCGTTTTTTCGGTCGAATAAGTAATGGTTTAATGGCAAAAATTGTCTGTCTTATTGTAATTTGATAATTTTATACTTTTATTATTAGCATACATAATTTGAATTTGAATTTTAAAATATCGGATTTTGAATAAGTTTTATCTAAACCGTATTTTCTTCATTGACCACTGGGTTGACTGTTTTTGAAAAAAAATATTGAAAATATGTTTTCTTTATTGATATTTAACTAATAAATTATATAAATTGATTATTCTAATAGATAATGATATTATATAAAAGTTATTTTTTAAAATTAAAAAAATTATATACAGATAACAATTTAGTTGATTATGAAAACCAAATAAGTTAATATATGAAAATTTTAAATAGAAAATGTTTTTAAACAAATGAAGTTTTCTTAGAAAAATTAATAAAGGAAAAAATTACTAGTTAAAAAAAAATAACGATGAATTGGATTCACGGTTATAAATAACCAAAAAAAAGAAAAAGGATTTGGACAAAATTTACTTAAAAATATTTTGATAATAAATGTTTGAAATTACCAATTATAATAGAAGCTGGGCAATTTTTGCCATTAAACCAATCCGTAATAATTATCATCGCCTTCCTTGCCTGGATTGCAAATTCACACACACACACCTTCGCTTGCAGTACAAACCCAAAGCCCTCAAAGTCCAAAATTGGCTCAAATCAAACCAACCACTTCCAATTTATTCTCTCTGAACTATGCCTCACAGAATAACAAACAAATAATACCTTTACCAGATCTCACAGAAGATTCAGCACTCTTAATTTTTTTTCCTGATAAAAATAATGGGTCGCAAAGATTGGTTATTGATGAGATCATCATGGAATGGATGGCGGCGTTCTTTGGTGTTTTTCTTACTTCTGCTCTTCATCCTTCTTAACCTTTTCTATGGCGATTATCCTCTCTATTCTGCAAACTGATGAAAAAAAAATTGTAAAATACAAAATGTTTGACGCTGGAATTCTTTTTCTTTCTTTTCAGTTCTAGAATTGCATCAGAACCCAGTTGTGGAAGGCCCGCCGATGAAAAAGAATACGAAATCCGATAATTTAATTCTGGGGTCTGCTGCCGGTCAAGGCTTGCCTAATCACTTGCAATGCCAAGGTTCTTACAATTTAATTTTCTCTTAATTGCCCAAGTTCTTTTCTTTTTTTTTTCCTTTAATTTTGTTGATATGATGTGTAATTTATGTTTCCATATGGTGGGGCAGGCACGAAAGGGCTGAACAAGACACATTTGCCGAGCTCTTCCAGTGCTGGAGAAAGCATTGCCTTTGTCACTGTCTTCACTGTTTATAACACTTCATTAGCTACTGACTCTAGATTATCAAATTTGGTCACTGTTGGGAATGCTTCCTACGCTAAAACAGAGAGTTCAATGGCTGTTTTGAATGTCTTCATTAACTCCATCCAGGTGATTTTCTGGTTTATCATCTTACTAGCATCTAGTAGTAATAATAACAATAAAGAGTTAAACCTTTGAGGCAGGAGAGACAACAGGATGAAGCTTCAAAGGCTTTCTTGTCCAAAAAAAGCCCAACAACCCATGTTATTTTTCTCAACTAAGCAAATTATAATAAGTCTAGCCCATGAGAAAAAAATTCTACATCAAGCCCAGAAGAAACAGCTGAAAGATATTTTAAATAAACAGACCACACGACGTCGTTGACATGCCTTTGGCAGCAAGTATTTCTCCTTTTCTCCCATTTTTCCACCATATTCTCTAGAACACGCTGTCAAATCCTTAAACCCGAAAGTGGACTGACACCTCCCCGCATTTCCACGCTCTTCTAAAGCGCGTGAAATAAACTCCAGGCAATGATTTGTTAGCAGAATAGTAGTACGCACATTCATGCGGCTGATAATTGATATAGAGACATCGTGGGAAGCGTAACGGGAGGATATCTTAGGGATTCTAAATAAAAAACAAGGATATTTTGGGAACTAAAAATATAAAGCTAGTAATATAAATAACACAAACCCTACGCTCACTCTTCACGCCTCCAATTGCTGCTCTCTGGTTATCTTCTCTTTCGCGGCTAGGGTTTAAGTGAAACTTTCATCAGGTTGGATTCTTCGATACTCTTTTTTTTTTTTTTTGCCTTCTAATCTAGTTTTAATCAGAATTACTGTAACTGAGTTACTGATTAATGCCTAATTTAGTTTTCTGGTTTATTTGTTGAATCTGTGATCTGTTTTTCTGTTTAAATCTGGATTTAAAGTTGTATTTTGTTTAAAATTTGATCGTTTGTGCCTTTGTCATTCTTTTTTGAAATGGTTTACGAAGATCTAAAAGATTTTCATTAGTTTTTTTTGGCATTGGTGTTAGAATTTGTTGTATGATATTTATTCTTGCTTGACAGATATGGATCTAAGAAGTTATTTGCAATGATTATGATCTGTTATAGAAAAATGTTATTTTATACATGTCTGTTGACTTCGTTTTTTTGTATGATTTTTAGATCTTTAACTTGGTTAGGTTGATGAGATAATGGACTTGTAGTTTAATTTTTTGATTTCAACTGTTTGTGCAGATAATGGAAAGTGGGTATTTTTGTTTTCTTTAGAGGAATGTGTTCCTCTTGAAGAATTATTATCTAAACAGTTCTCATTGTGCCGCCTTTGGGAATCTATTAGTTTTTTTTATTATTGGTTGAAGTTTCTGATTTTTAATTACTAAAATCTGTAAATAATTAAAGTTATTGCTATGATAATTTTTTTTCTGGATGTTGACTTGTACTTTATTTTGGATTATGCTTTCATCTTGTATTTTTAGTTGTTTTAACATTTTTTTTTTTGTATAACAGTTCTAGACTAAGACTTCAGCATGGGTAAAGAGAAGAGTCACATCAACATTGTGGTCATTGGCCATGTCGACTCTGGAAAGTCGACCACAACTGGTCACTTAATCTACAAGCTTGGAGGTATTGACAAGCGTGTCATTGAAAGGTTTGAGAAGGAAGCTGCTGAGATGAACAAGAGGTCATTCAAATATGCTTGGGTGCTTGACAAGCTTAAGGCTGAGCGCGAGCGTGGTATTACCATTGATATTGCCTTATGGAAGTTTGAGACCACTAAGTACTACTGTACTGTCATTGATGCTCCTGGACATCGTGATTTTATCAAGAACATGATTACTGGAACTTCACAGGCCGACTGTGCTGTGCTCATCATTGATTCCACCACTGGTGGTTTTGAAGCTGGTATCTCTAAGGATGGGCAGACCCGTGAGCATGCTCTCCTTGCCTTCACCCTTGGTGTCAAGCAAATGATCTGCTGCTGTAACAAGGTGTGTGTGTGTGTGTTTCTTGTCTCTTCTTTCAAGTTAATCATTTAGTTAGCATTGTAATGTTTCCTATCACATAGTTTAAAAGATATGTTTCTGCCCGCAACCAATGTTTATTCTTGCCTTTTTTTTGGAACAGATGGATGCAACCACTCCAAAATACTCCAAGGCAAGGTATGATGAAATTATCAAGGAAGTTTCATCTTACTTGAAGAAGGTCGGTTACAACCCTGACAAGATTCCCTTTGTTCCCATCTCTGGATTTGAGGGTGATAACATGATTGAGAGGTCCACCAACCTTGACTGGTACAAGGGCCCAACCCTCCTGGAGGCCCTCGACCAGATCCAGGAGCCCAAGAGGCCCTCAGACAAGCCTCTGCGTCTTCCACTTCAAGATGTGTACAAGATTGGTGGTATTGGAACCGTCCCAGTGGGTCGTGTTGAAACTGGTGTGATCAAGCCTGGTATGGTTGTGACTTTTGGTCCAACTGGACTGACTACTGAAGTTAAATCGGTTGAGATGCACCATGAAGCTCTCCAGGAGGCTCTTCCTGGTGACAATGTTGGGTTCAATGTTAAGAATGTTGCGGTGAAGGATCTGAAGCGTGGTTATGTTGCCTCAAACTCCAAGGATGACCCTGCCAGGGAGGCTGCCAACTTCACCTCCCAGGTCATCATCATGAACCATCCTGGGCAGATTGGAAATGGTTATGCCCCTGTTCTTGACTGCCACACCTCTCACATTGCTGTTAAGTTTGCTGAGCTCCTCACCAAGGTCGACAGGCGATCTGGTAAGGAGCTGGAGCAGGAGCCAAAATTCTTGAAGAACGGTGATGCTGGTTTCGTGAAGATGATTCCAACCAAGCCCATGGTGGTCGAAACTTTCTCCACTTATCCTCCACTTGGTCGATTTGCTGTGAGGGATATGCGCCAGACTGTTGCTGTGGGAGTCATCAAGAGTGTTGAGAAGAAGGACCCCACTGGTGCTAAGGTTACCAAATCTGCAGCCAAGAAGGGCAAGTGAACCGTGCAGGTTGATTCTACAGAAAGTTATTTTAAAAATAATGACGTTTTTTTCTGCTTTCTATGTCTTGGATGCTTATCTATGTGTCAAGACATTTTTAGCTTTATGTCATCACCATCATCGCAAGGCTGTTTGCAGAATTGGGTTCTTGATCGGCGGTGGCGTGATAGAAGTCTTGAGGCAGTTTCTGCATTTTTGTTGGCTTTCAAATTAAGATGTTGGTGATGTTTCTAAATTCATGAACAGCTCTTATTTTTAAGTCTAGTTTTTTGTTACTCAGAACTCGATATGATGTTTTGTGTTTTATCTATATTTTTTCGTCAACTCGTCTTCTGTAAGGTTATTGCTTGGGGTTTTCCTTTCCATTGCATCCTAGCACATGCTTGCTTTGTTTCTGGTATTGTGGCCTAAGTGATTGGGCTTTTATTGGCTTTTCTAAAATAGTTTGTTCCTTTAGTTTGTTCTTAAATTATGCGCCTATTGAATTACGGAGGCCATATGCCAATGGTTACGCTTATGATTGTCTGTGCCAAAATTTTGTCGGTTATATGGACCGAAACATTGATGAGGTGTTGATGAATAAAAAGATGTAGCGGGCCAACCAGTAAGATTGGGCTGATTTTCCAATAAATTTGTGTTGGGCTTATAGATAACGTGGACCCTGGTGAACAAACGTATTATTGCATTGTGCTGGGCTGTAATTTGTTCATCGGAGTACTATAAAAATATTATTAATAATATAGAATTAGGGAAAAAGATTAATAAAGCAAATCCGCAAATCCATTTTTTTTAAAGGAGTTAAAAGGTGACACAAAACAGCAATGAATGATCAAATTTAATTATTTGATAAATTTATGTGAAATTTCACGATTTCGAACTTGGATATTTTTCATATTTGATAGCTTGTTCTTAAACCTAAGAGACAGTGAGGAGTAAAGTAGGTTTTTACTTTCTTTTTGCAACATGTATAACAGAAAGGTTTATATGAAATTAATATCACCTTGGAGACTGAATTATATAAAATCACAAATTAACATAAAGTCTCCTAGTCGGGTAAAAATAAAATAAAATCAAAAACCTCTCCTAAAGTAATATAATATTAAACATCACTTGAACAAGTATTCTAAACTTCCGTCATAAACTCCATCAAAGAGATGAAAAGGAAATGTGGATCTATGAAATAAGGCAACCGATCATAATAGCCATTCTTATAAATACAAACGAGAACAAAAGGAGCACTTCCTCCTCTGCAATTGCGAAGAAGGTATTGATATCCTCAACCTTCTGGTGCACAGTGCACACCATTCCATTCCTTCGCTTTTAAACACGGTAACTTTAAATAAGTGGCCTTCTGCTTTGATTTCTGAGAAATTTTTACATGAACTTGGTGCATGGACCAATCACATTGGAGGATTCTACTCTCAAATTCGGAGCCAAGGGGGCTGGTGATACTAAAAGATATAGCTTCCTGTAGATTAAAAGACTAGACATTCTATGTATTGTGAGACAACATGTTGCTTTGAGAAAAACCAGTGGCTGAAAAAGTTAAAAGAAAAAATGGTGGTCAGCCACCAGTTGCAGCAATCTCCCTCGCCCAGCACCCCTCACTGGCACCGTGGTCTTTCCCTCACATGCTCTTTGCTGGGACCACATGAATTGAATTGCCCATTCGTGCTGCATAGAGGTACTTCTGCTACAAAACCTCCCGTTCATAACTGGGAAAGAACAAGAACTCAAAAAGAGTAGCAAGAACAGGCGTGGCATAGAAGAAAAAGAGGAGTGTCGCAAAACCAAAAACAAGAAAACATGGCCGCCAGTAAACTTCCAGTTTCTCCAAGATGGCACGTCGAGAAAATTCTAGTCCCATCTTTCTGTTCTCCATTAAACAAAAGTATCACTCTTGACCAGCTGGAACACCCAAAATTATACAAGCGATGAAGACATTGCAAGAAATGAAAGGGTACTTGAATCTGCCTTTTTTTTTTTTTTTTTTTTTTTTGTGGGAACAATTGCACACTAGAATGCCTTTGGTCGCAACTAGCTCCTCACAGACGATAAATATCATTTACCAGGAGACAAGTCAAGATATGTGCCTTCTCTTTAAGATGCATTTCAGGCTCATTCTCTGATGGTAAGAATTGCAGCCTGCTAAAATGTTCCATGAGAAAATGCAACCAAGATGATAGCTTACAGAATCCAGAACATCACTTATCTATAGTACAATAAGATCAAGAAGAGGGCTTTTTACTCATTTCTTGGCACTTTTGGCAATAGCATCACAAATCTCTCTTTCTCGTTTGTTGTTGTTGTTATTGCTGGTGATGTTGTTGCCACCGGTACTTGGTGCACTTTTTCCCTGGACTTCCAACGCATCCTCCACATAAAACTTTAGCCTCCATAGGGTGGATTCCGCCTGCACAGTTTGTTCCTTTACCAAGCAGTTCATTCAAGAATCTAAAATAGAAGCAATAGTTATGATATAAATTATCACCTGTGCATCAATGTCAAGGTCCACCTCTTCAGCAGTTGCTTGAAAACCTGGATTATTCTGAGCAACAATCTCTAATGCTTTAGTTAGATCTTCAGGAGATAGTCTCGTAAGAGCCGCCCCAAGCTTTCTTTTCTCTTCCGTGGACATCTTTCTGGAATGGCATTTTCAAAATTAACTTTAGTTGCCACAGAGGATCGGAAACAGAAATTCAAATCTTCATGCAGAGGTAATTCACAAGTTAACTTTAAGCACACCAAGAATATGCCCATAACAAATAACTTTTCTAGTCACAATATCATTCACTGCATATCCAAAGTTGGACGACTAACCTGCACTTTTGAACAACCATTTCTCGAAAGCTCTTCCAGATGCATATCAACCTCATAAAGCTGAAAACAGGTCATTTCAGAGTCTTGAAACATATTTTCCAACATAATCCTAATAATACAAAGATGAATGCATGGTTGAGCTTGATTATACCTATAGAAGATCAATTTCAACATGTTTGCGAAGCATTCTATAAATTATTCAAAAAGATTAATTCATCATTCAAGAGAGGAGGAAGCAAAGTAAAAGCTTTGTCAGAGCTCCATATATTTGTAAGAAAGGTTGTGATGTTTCAGTATACCTCATCACTCAAATCGCGAGCCGTTTTAGCATGAGCAGCCTCCTGAGCAAGCTGCATATCCAATTGAGCCTCTGCTTCCTCATCTTCTCTTCTTTTCTCCTGTGGGAACATTGATTTGGTATTCAATAAGATAATCCAGAAATAAAAAACAAGGCAATTGGATTTATCTTTAGAAAAATATCATGGACTAAGATAGCTCGATAACACATACCTCTTCAGTGACTTTAGACAGAAGTTGTAGCCACTTCTCGAATTTTCCCAACAATGTTTGGACATAACATGAACATCACTTCTTTCGTCGTAATATTTCATTGCATTCTTAAACACCAACCTCACATCAGCACATATCTCCCTGACATTCTTATATCCCATGCCATCCTTAGCCTCCATTTGATTTTTTATTGTACTGAAGTCCATGGGCTTTTCAATAACCTATTGAATACCATATGCATCAAATTCATTAAAGTCAAATTCCGAAAGAATCCAGCTCTAAAATGGCAGAGCAATTAACAGTCATAGCGACCAATCTGTCTATATATAATAGTATGAGTCTCCAATCAATCGCTACGTTTCTAATTGCATTTATTATGTTCCTGAATAATGTTTAAGTCTCTAATATGTCTTTCCAATCAATTTTCTGACCATTAGCAAATTTTTTGACCGAAGTGTCCCTGACTTACATGAAAAAAAAATCTGGATTGTGCAAAAGCGGTTCCCTGATTTGGCTTGAACTAACCAGCGGCATTCATTCGCAAAAACAAGGATTAGACTACTCTAGAGAAAGGTAGGGGGATGGTGAACAACGTTGATTGTTTCCAGCCTTGATGCGATTATTGATACCCTTCTTTCGATTTAGAGGATCCAATAAAAATTTTAAAATTTTTTATTCGATGCAATTATGGTGGATTCCAAGCATAATAATAAAAAATTAAAATCAACATGAATAAAAAAAATAGGTAAACAAATTCCTCGATGATCATACAAACTAATCAATGCTCTCGATGATCATACAAATTAATCAATGCTTAGAACAACAAGAGGGCGAAAACGATGAGAACACGGCAGAGGATCATGAGATTCATTCGCGAAATGATAGAATTCAGGGGAATCAGGGCCATATTCCCTACTAAGTAACAAGTCACACTTGCACATGTTCGATCACAGAAACTGAGAATTGAAAACATGATTCACTTTCCTTTTAAAAACAACTCGATATGGCTCTAATATAGTAGATGTGGATGAAATAGGATATTTGAGATGGATAATGAAACTTCACCTCATAATAGTCATGCAACCCAAGACCTTTGACATCTACAGGTTGCATAAAAGGCCAAGCCCATTTGTGCTGCGTTATCTGAAAGCAACAAAAAGAAATTAGACTAACTTTTTTTTTTAACCTTCAATTACCCAAGAACAAGATCCCAGGAATAGATTTGATTTAGCAGGACAGAACAGATAAATACTAATAACTAGTAGTGTAAATTCACGAAATGAGTATGGTTAACGGTGACAAAATATCAGGCCCAAATCTCCAAGCATACGAAGCAACAAATTGGTCACCATAAAGTAGTAGGGGTAACAGGAACAAATTTCCATAACATATTAAAGAATTCAGACAGCAATTTCTCAATCCACCTTAAAATTTCATAACAGAACAGAAGAATCAACTCTTCCCCCAGATACAAGCAAAATTATGTTTTAACCACTCACACAGCAAAAACATAAAACGATATCAATAATCAAATGGGGAGCAATAACAACAGCATTGATCGATACATTACTTGACGCAATATTGTACCAAAGTGGCGCATAAGCTCTTGCATTCTCTTAGCAGCAACTGCTTCTCATTTCGACGCATCTTGCTGCTGTTTCCTAATTCTAGGTACATGCCTCTCTTTATCTTTATCTTTCACAATCGAGCTACCACCTTTCGAACCACTCTGCTGCTGCTGCTTCTTTTTACTTATATTCGAGTAAAACTGCTCGACCTCATTTACTCTTTGCTCCAATTATACATCAAAATAAATAAATAAATAAATAAATAAATCGCAACTCATTTAGAACCAATTAGTAAAACATTCTACGCAACTGAAAAAAAAAAAAAAAAAAAAAAAAGATTAGTGTGTGACTTACTTTATCAACTTTTTGTAAAATTTCATCCACACTATGCTTGAAACCCTCCGTGTCGGCAGCATTTCCGTCGGAATTTCGTATCGGAAGATTGCCAAAATCCAAAATCGACGTGCTTATCGGCTCCATCTGATTGCCAAAAAGAAATGCAAATACAAATAAAACGTTATTGTGACTGTTAAAAACATTCAAAGATGGTAAAATTGACTTGCTGAATTTTATAAAAAGAGCAACTAAGAAATTTTTTTAAAAAAAATCTTTCTTAACACAACGGAAACAGCCATAAAAAGAAAATAAAATTATGTTACGATTATTTAATAATTAACGTAATCAAAACCAAGCAGAAGAAGATTAAAAGAATTACTAATCAGGATTGAAATCATGTATACGGACCTGAAAATATACGTATATGTATACGGAGACCGTAGACGGAGTGGTGAAAGTAACAGAGCAGGCGCAGGGAGACTGCTCTGTCTCGCTATGACGCTATCTATCTTGCCAGCTGCAAAACAAAACGCTGGCTTCTCTTTTTAACAGCGTCGGTTTATTCCTGTTTTGGTAATGCGTTGGGTAGTTTTTTCATATGTCGGCTAACGGCACCGTTTCCATCTTTTCTTTTCTTTTATTTATTTATTTTTATTTTATTTTGGGAAATAATTTCGCTTTTTCCTTTCTTCCAATTCTGCCAATTCTTTTTTATTCTTGTCTATATTCTTCAAAATAATGCACCTCTAATATGACCTTCAATTTTTATTTTATTTTGTTTTCACGATTAGCATGTGATTATTGGTTAGCTTATAAATAAAGAAAGAAAATCTAGGTCTTCATTGAGATCGAATGAAATAAAATATTCTTATGTCTAGATAAAATATTCTGAAGGAGGGTCGGAGGGTCGGCCAGTTAACACCAACTGGTTACTCTAATAACAGGTAGCCATTAAAATTAAAATTAAATATTAAATACATATGAGAAATGTTTTGAAGGTGTAAAATAATCATTAAGGATTTGAAAGAATATTTAACATAGTTAAAGTGGTCTTTTTATGCTTAATGAATATTTTATTGATTTTTACGATGTATGAATAATAACTTTCATATAAAATAATTATTTTGAGCATATTGCATATGTATGAAAAATATTTTATTTGCTTAGAATATTTGTTAAATGGGTGTTGAGTTATTTTATGTGATTGGGTGAATTTTCTAGTATGTTGTGAACATTTTATTTCAATTTTTATATATAGGAATAGTGTTTTAGAGATAGAATAATTAAACTAGACACTTAAAAAAGAATAAGAAAATTTTTTTATGGGCCTAGAAAAATCATTTGGGATGTGTAGAAGTATTTAATAAATTTAAATTAATTTTTCAATATATAAAGAATATTTTTTATAGAAAATAGTGTAATTTTTACACTAAATAATTAATTTAAAAGCTTACATTCATTGTACTTCGAATGTAGTTTAAAGACGATAATATTCTCATCATTTTATATGATAGGTTGGGGATGGTGCCGTTACTATCAGTTTTATTTAATTGCTGCGGTGACCAACTGCCTGCGATGTAATTTAGCTTTTAAATTGCCACGTGATTGGTTTCTTGAACATGATTTCTTAGACAGGCGTAATTCACTTCATTTTGTGGTGTGTGGTTTGAGCTTTACCCAAGATTGGAGGAGAGGCCTCAGCTGCTCAGGTAGTCGAGAGAGACATGCAGTTCTCACACTCAAACCTTATTTATAGACTGTCAAGTTGACAGCAGAGGCAATTTGGACTTTTTTAACTGTTTAGCGATTTTCCTGCAGAAAGCACTGGTAACTGGCTTGGGATGATAGCGAAGATGGAAAATTCTCTACCTAGGCTGCGTATGCGACAATCGCAAAGGATAGCTGCGGAGAGATTGATGGAATTTGGGAATGTGTTTGCAAGTGGAGAGGACCTGAGCGTGTTAAAGCATTTTGGTGGCTTGCAGTTCATCATAAAATCCTTACAATGAGTCTTATAATGTGGAGACTACATTACACGTGATAAAGAGATTGCCCTCGAGCGAGGTTAGTTCGGAGCAGATCGGTGAGTAGAATGGCAATCTGAGTTTTTCCAGTAGCCTCGAAGAGAGTGGTCTAAGTCTAACCTTGCCAAGTCTCGAACTGGCAAAGAAAATGACGATTGGTGCATATCAAACTTGGAGCTAGAGGGTGAGCCTTTGGAGGCAGCGTAATGAAGGGTTATACAATCCCTGTGTCACTTATCAAAATGATTCTTTCTTTTCCGTTCTTTTTTATTATTATTATTATTATTAACTGAAATTTCATCTTTCATTCTGTCAAATAAATTAATGCAGCCTGGAACAAAACATGATGCAACAAACCCCACGTTGCAAACTCAACACAGATGAATTGTAGGTTCAGAGGCTTGCTTCGTGACTGGCAGGGGAGATGTATAACTGGGTTTGCTTGTCATACTGCTGCTTGTACAACAGTTAAAGATGAATTTTGGGGTGTTAAGCTGGGTTGGGAGATGGCTTGGCTGGCGGAGCATAGGCAGCTGATATCGGTGGTGCCCTCTTGAAGACCAAAGTAATCATCCACTTACTAACACAGGCCGAAGAAAAATGCTGGAAGTAATAGGTGTCGCATCAACCAGATAAGAACCCTGTTAATGAAAGCATGGCAAGTTACAGTTCCAGCATGTGTTTCCTTAAGCCAATGCATGTGCTGTTTGGTTGGCAAACACCTGCATATCAAGTTTATCCATGACATTAAACATCAAAATTCAAATATTGGTTCTTTTCCTTCTCAAAAACAACCTAGTCTAAGGACAAAGCGTAGGAAAAAAATGCCCATTGGCTCAAAACCAGGCCAGAGCTTATCAAAAACCATCAGGTAAAATCAGGTCCTACCGTCCTCAGGCAAAAACCTTGCAGACCAATCATTGCTGTACTTTCCAATCACAAATTTTTGGAAGCAGACTCACGACCTGATTTCTGTGTTCAGTCTAGCCAACAATGCCTTGTTAGGACAGTGCTCTTCATCAATAAAGTAGAAATTTCCGTTGGCCTTAAATGTCACAAAGGGCCTGTTGGTTTCTGGTGGCCGGATATCAGCAAACTTGATAGTCTTTCGATAGTAGGTTGCCAACCAGGACATCATTTCCACTTCAAAACTGTCTGAGCCAGGCTGCCATCTAAGCTTGTGAATGTAAGGGCTAACAAACCAGTTCAGAGCAGCAGTGGTTGAAGCACTGAAGAATATGACAATAGATGCAACTGCCCCCTTCATGATGATACTTGAATCTTGAGATGTCACAAATACTAAAACTGGACCCAAGGATACAGACAGACAGCAGGTTGAAAGAGAAAGCAATTTCACTTTCTTGATAGTGGATGAGATTGGACCATAATACACCACCCCAGTCTCTTTTTCATCTTCTCCCGCTTCCTTCCCTCGGCATGGTCCAATGCTTATCTTATTGTCATCTTTTGCTGAAGATGCCCATCTTTTCTGAGGAGCAGCCAGAAGAGCGGCATGGTTGAAATTGGGTTTGGCGCACTGACTGTGTGACCATGTGCTGAACCGACAAGTACGATAACCTAAAGCAGAGAGAAAATTAATAACAATAAGAACATGTAGAGTAGAAATGCCCCCAATAACAATATGCTTTACATTTGTTGATTGGCATCTTAAAACAAAAGCAGACATCGCTACAGAACAGGCAATCCTAAAACACAAAAACATGCAACCACAGAAAGAACAATCTGCATTTGACTCATAATAACAATCTTCCTGAAGCAAATCAACTGAAAACTTCAAAATATGATCTGTCATGATCAACAATAAATATAATATAAAAATGAGCAAAGATCATAGCACATTCCACAACAGGTTCAGATATACATGGTAGATATTGTCATCGGGCATTATCAAGGGAAATCAATGATAAATTATGAATACTGCAATAGCAGTTTGCAACTGAATTGAAATACAGAGTCTACGACAGTGAGCAATAAGTCAAGACCGATTCAGTTAGAATACAGCATTAGCAGAAAGTTCCAAGACAAAGCCTAAGAAGTTCATTCTCTTATTGAAATCACCCAAAAAAGAGATGGAAAAAAATATAGGTGACAACCAAAGGAACTCCTAGGATTCATCTGAACAGATAATACCTTCAGCCATATAGTCCATTCTTAGCTATAAGGCACAGCAGATTCCCACTAACAAGCAAAGGGTACCTGCGAACAACTGAACTTAACTAGTGGTCAGATATGCCCAATAACAATCTAATTTTACAGAAGATGACCTCGTGTTTTCAAATGAAAGTTTCAACATAAAGGCAGAAAAAAGCAAATGACTTATCATTCCTGACGGTGTTTGATGAAAACATTTTAAAGGAAAGAAACAGTCTCACAAACAACAAGGGTTATTAAAAACAAAGATTGACAAACAAACTAACTGATTAAAAAAGTGTCCCCCCAAGCAAAACTAGACATGATTTTATGGTCCAAAATTTAAATAAGTTCTGGCATATATTTCAGGCTAGGCAAGCACTGAACAGAAATTGCAACAAAGCAAGATGACGCAGAGGGAAAAGAATCACAAAAGCACAGTTGAGGAAGACCATCTTAAAACAAAATACAAGTAGTTTAATTTCTGTGAACAGGTTGATCCTAAATCTTTTTCTTAACGCCTTATATGCACATCAATCAGTTAAAAGCAAAAAAGAACAGGCATCAAGTCATATACATTCCCAGCTTCCAAAGATCAAATATTCATCACTCCAGCAACATCAAAAAATTCAAAAAATGCATCTCACCCAAATGCATATAGTTCACATATGCTCAGATATTGAGGATACTCTACAAAGCTGAAGACTGGTTCCCACCCCAAATGCATTGCATATAAAATTCCTAGGGAACCAATCAAAGAGTTGAAATCGTTCCACTATAACTTGTACATAAGCATCCGTCACTTCATAAAATAAAAAAGCAACAAAACCTCTAAAAGCACAGGAACGATTATGGGTCTTTTACACTCTTCTAATTCTAAATCTTTATACTGTCGAAAATTAAAATCTTTGTATGTACTAATCTAAAATTAAAATCTTTGTATGTACTAAAAGATTACAGCTTTATTCAACAACTCGGTTTCTTCTCCAATCAAAGTTCAGATATTGCATCATAGCTTTAAAGTTAGTCCTTGATTTGTGCTTCTTCTTTTTTAAGAAAAATAGAGATCGTAAAATGAAACCCCCAAAAGGCAATAAGTTAGATAGGGGAAAGGAAGTGAAAAGGGAACCTGAGTGAAAGTTTCTGGTGGACGAGAGTTGTTTGGCTTGAGATCGAAGCAAGTGAAGAAGAGCTGCCCCTCTCGCCATTTCTTTGGGCTAACCTTTGAGTTCTTGATTCTCGCAGGACTTTCTTGTGAGCGGCAATATCCAAGGGTTTGTTCTGAACTTGGAGGTTTAAGATGTTTAAGCTCAACGAATAAGCACATTTTAAATAGAATAAGAAGAAGCCAAAAGAGCAAATGGGCATTTGGTCTAGTGGTATGATTCTCGCTTAGGGTGCGAGAGGTCCCGAGTTCAATTCTCGGAATGCCCCCTTGTTATTTTTTACCCCATTTAACTTTGTTCTGTACTCCATAAGCCATATACAATTTACCAGAAGTTTTAGGCATTTTTTAGTGGAGAAATGCTAAAATGCTGAACATAATTTTTTTAAAAAAAAAAATTAAGTTACCCGACAGACACTTAAATTTTAGATTTTGTTTATAATTTTTTTTATTCCATGTAAAAATTACCTTCAAATCTTTTTATACATTAACCGAAATTAAATATCTAATCAAATGATTCTACCAAAAAAATATTCCATAAATCTGATTTATTTATAAAAAATTAATAAATTACTTTATATGTTGGTTTCAAGATTTGAATATAAAAATTTTAAAAACTAAAACAAATTTTCTTAACCAAAAACCAATGCCTTATGATTGTAATTGTTTATAACGAGCATCACTATTCTTCGAGTATATCCAATAAAACAATTCGAATATTTTGTTTGATAGATATGACATATGTTAATGTTTTAATCCTATAATCTATGATGCTAGCTAGGATAATTACTACATGGCATATGAGTCATATTGTCTTCTATTAAAAGATTGAAAAATAATTTAGAAACAAATTTTTTATACTAAAATACTATACCAAATGATGTGTTAGTTGATTGATGATAAAATATGAGTCTTGTAGTAATAAATGGTTGCATATATATATATATATATATATATATATATAAGACGATCATGTATTTTTATATAAAAATTTGTGTGTTTATATAGCATATATTATAAAAGATTTTGCCAATATATAAGTGACAAGATATAATATCTAGTTGAAACACATAATTTTCGATGTTTTGTGTTTCAATAAGATATTACAATATCTACTTGTCTAATACCCATATTATGATGGCAAGAAGCAATATCCAGACGATGATAATTAAAATTAAAAACCAACAATGGTTGAACACCGATTTTTCAATTGGGTATTACGATATTCATATGTCAAAAGCAATATATCCATTTTGCAACATTTTTAAGTGTATTTGCAATGTCTCTGAAAAGATTTGCAATTTACAATATATATTTGCAACAAAGGGAATGCACTGGTGAAAGGCACATCTGATATTGGTTTGACTATTAACGCAAAATAAAATTCAATTTACGACTTACATAAATAAAAGAAATTTGTCACACCTCACTCATTTATCAACCTTATTATATATTTATTGACGATTAGCATGTGATTATTGGTTAGCTTTTACAAGTCATTCAGATTGCATTGGTGCATTCGTGATTTTTTTTTCTCTCGCAACTTTTTATTGAAATCAAACCTGAATTAATAATGAATAATGATGTGAGAAATAAATATTATGAATTGTTCGTGTTAGTATACATACATATATCCTGCTTTCAGTGTCACTTCTAGTTTTATTTTTATTTATTTTTTATGTAGCAATAGTTTTACTTTTATTTATTAACACGGAATCTTGGATCGTTTCACGCAATTGCATTGTTTTAAGAATTATATATAATTGCATTTTAAATATCCAGGATTCTAAAATTGTCTTATGTTTCTCCCACTAATCAAAATTTCCAGACTACTACGTACTATTCCCTCTAGAAGGTGAGGTCATTATCAGCAATCACTTTCAATTTTTGATAATTTTGTTTTGCTGATTTAGCCCAATTGATTGGCTACAGTCATTATCAATATCAAGTTAGTTAATCATCCTTCCTATTCAGTCCGTTTAGAGGGTATTTATGTTTGACAGCTTCCTTTCAGATATAGTTCCTGAAAGAGTCAAACAGCCAGATTTCTTAATTGTTTGTCTCACGAGCAGTCAATAACCAAATTTCTTTATTGTTTCTCTCACGAGCAGTCAATGCCTGATAAATTATGGAAGAGGTCTATTGTTTATTAAAAAATAATTCATAGTAATCAGATTAATTTTTTTAAAAAAATTATTGGCCAATTTTAGTTTAACCAAAAATTGATGATGCTTTTGGGTCATTTTGCCTTGAAAAATTAACGAAAGCATCCCATTGAGGTCCTTTCTCTGTTTTTGTTTTTTGCCCTTATGTTTCCTTCTTTCTTCTTTTCAAACTTCGGGTTGAAAATAAATTCTTAGTGGCCTAATGATCTAATGAAATAAACCTTCAAAATCTACATCATATACATCCATGTCATAAAAATCAGGACTTCGAATATGCAACCACTTTGAGGGGAAAAAAACTAGCAGTGTAACTTCTAGTTCTTTATTTCTCCTCGCGGATCCAAAACCACAGGTTTTTTTAAAAAAAAAGGTGAAAAGAAATATTTGCAATTAACTTTTGTTGAATAATGACAACAAGTTCAGCCTGCAATGGAAAAATCTATGTGCAATAGAAATATGTATTCTATTTCATGAGATGTCTGCACGATCAAGCATATCTACCAAGGTCATCCTTCTGGGAAACCTTGCTGGCAGCCTTAAGTACATGGCATCCTCAATCTTAATTGGCAGATGTGTCGCAACAAAAACAATCCCTCCCTTCTTTCTGTGCTCTGCGATAATGTACTCAAGCAACCTCACCCCATCATCATCCAACGCAACAGAAGGCTCATCCAGCAACCAAATTGGCCTATCAATTGCCAGCAACCTTGCAAGCTGTAGCCTTTTCCGTTGGCCCATTGACAACATTCTTGCCTTCTCCTTTGCTAATCTTCCAAGCCCCATCAACTCAAGAGCAGGTAGAGAATTCCCTTGCTTGCCTTCAAGAAGCTCAAACCACTGAACATTGTCGAGTACGGTAAATTTTTCTTTCACGGCATCTTTCAGGGAGAGCCAATTGAGCTGAAGCTTATACTGATGGAACACTCCAGATTTGGTTACATCATGACCATTCCAAAGGATCTGGCCTGCAGAAGGCTTTGAAAAACCAGCTAACATTCGCAAGAAAGTGCTCTTGCCTGAACCATTGCTACCTGTAAGTACAAGAGCCCCCCATCATGAACAGAAACATTTACATGTCGTAAGATTTGTTGGGCATTTCTCATGCACGACACATTGTCAAGAACGATCCGCGGGAGGGGTGGTTTCCGAAGCGACATTAAGGCTTGGAAATTGAAAGTTAGTGTTGCTGTTCAAGATTTTGCAGAAACATTCAACTGTTTGAAATCCAACTTTAAAATCTGGACCAACCAATTGTCAACAATAAGTTAACAAAAAAGAAAATATCTTATGTAATTTCTCATCAAAGTGCCATATAACATCAACATGGAAAGTGAAAGAAGTCAAAAACCAGAAAAAAAATAATAATCAAAGATTAACGAAGCCACTGAAGCACACAACAACGAATGTTAACGAAAAAGTGAGAACTCAGTCATATAAGAAACATGAAACTATGAAAGTTAAATTTGGCCTTAACAAGCAATCACTAATAGCATGCTGAGACCATACGAATAAAACTCAAAGTATCACCGAAAACCATTCCAAATAAAAATCATGTAAATAACACTTCCAGTCCTATGAAAACTTCTATAATCGCATCCCATCACCGTCATGGACCCAACATAAAACCTGGCCAGTAACCACAAACACTACTAAATCACAAAAACATTAACAACCCAAAAACTAACATTCAAACTTTGAGATACACAAATGTGTAGAGACTTTTATTTCGATTAAACATCAAAGATTTATGAGAAGATACATTTTGAAGCCCTGGCCTTGAAATATGAATAGAACATCCCAGAAAACAAAAACAAACTAAGTATTTTTGAATCGGTAAAGAACAAAAGATTTTCTTCAAAGAAAAAAGAAATTTCACATGTCCCTGCCCTCCTTTTTGAATAGAAAACATACAAAAGTTAAAAGCACAATGTAAAAAATTCCACATATCCTTGCCCTCCTTTTCAAATATTTTTTTAGCTGCATTTGTCTTGCTGTATGCAATAATAATCTCTTTTAAACCGACAGCGAGCTCCAAATCTTACTTCCACATATGTTTCTTTTTTTTTTCCTTTTTCTATAAAGAATCTGAATTTTCCTACAGGTAAGAAAAGGGTCTGTTTTATTTCACAAAAATGTTGCAAATTCAGTTTCCTTATTGTAAGAGTTTTTTTGTTAAAAGAGAGTGTATGTGAATAGCATACAAGGTGTTTGATTATTTGTCTCCTTGTAGCTGCAGACATTGATTCAGTGTTTTTCATGGAACAACAAAGTATTTTTGTTCCATTATCCATTTGGGCATCTTAAAATTTGAATATTAGTTTTTGGATTGTTAACGTTTTTGTAATTTAGTCATGTTTGTTGCCATTTGTTTTGGGTTTGACTTCTTTCACTGCCCATGTTGACATTTTTTGGCACTTTGATGATAAATTACATTAAGTATCCTGTTTTCTTTTATATTAATTCATTGTTGACAATTGGTTGGTCTAGATCCTAAAGTTGTTAAATTTTAAACGGCTGAAATTTTTTGCAAAATCCTAAACAGTAACACTAACTTTCAATTTTTGAGCCTCAGTGGCATTTCAATAACCACCACTCCCTTGGATATGGTTCGGGTAAGAGCACTTTCTTGCGAATGTTAGATATTTTTTCCAGGCCTTCTACAATTCAGATACTTTGGAATGATCATATGTGACTGGATCTAGAGTGTTCCATTAATACAAGCTTCAACTCAACTGGCTCTCTCTTAAAGATACAGTCAAAGAAAAGTTTCTTGTACATCAATAATGTTCAGTTGTTTGAGCTTCTTGAAGACAAACAAGGGAATTCTTTGTCTGCTCTAGAGCTGATGGGGCTTGGAAGATTAGAAAAGGAGAAAGCAAGAATGTTGTCAATGGGCCAGTGAAAAATGCTGCAGCTTGGAAAGTTGTTGGCAATTCATAGGCTGATTTGGTTGCGGGACGAGTCTTCTGTTGCATTGGATGATGACATGGTCTGGTTGCTTGAATACATTATCACAGAGCACAGAAAAAAGGGAGGGATTGTGTTTGTTACAACACATCTTGCAATTAAGATTGAGGATGTCATGTACTTGAAGATGACTTGCAAGTTTCTCTTAAGGATGACCTAGTTAGACATGTTTGATCGTGCAGATACTCATGAAACGAAAGACATATTTCTATTGCACATAGATTTTTCCATTACAAGTGATTTAGTCATTATTCAACTAGTTGAACTTCTGATGAGTTATTTTCCAAAGGTTAATCAGTTACATAGTGAAGGTTAGTGAAAGCTTTTATCTGGAAACAAAAAGTTATTCTGAATATTTCTATATTTCTTTTGTTTCCTCCAAAATTTTGGATCAGAGGATAAATATATGTTAATTATTCAATAACCATAACAGAATTTCATCTTCTCTTTGCAACCATTTTTGCCGTGTTAATAAAGATTTTTTATTTTTTATTTTTTTAACTTCTTGGTTGCTCGGTTTATTTTTGTTATGTTAATAAAGATTTTTTATTTTATTTTTTAAAATTCTTAGTTGCTCTGTCTATAAAATTCAGCAAGTCAATTTTGCCATTTTTGAATGTTCTTAACCGTCAAAGGAACATTTTATTTGTTATTGCATTTCTTTTTCAGGATGTGATCTTGTACTCCTTTTCTTTTACTAGACTAAGCCCTGAATATGCATCTGATTAGGTGTTAAATGAAATTCAAAAAGATTCCTCATAATTAGATTCAAAAAAAAAAAAAAGAATTGGACTGGAGTGTATAACCAATGACGGAAAAAGCCCTCCACTTGATCCACCCTGTCTCTAAATAGATTGAGTGTATGAAGTCCATGAAATAGTATCTCTCTCAAAATATATATATATATATATATATGTTACTATGCTTTTCATACAAAGTGAAAATAAAGCACTTAACTTCTTTTCTTTCATTCGATGCTTATAGTCCCTTTAGAAATCTCGAGGAGGATTGTTGATTTTAGATTGAAGTATAGTTCGACGTGTTACAGATTTTCTACCTATCTTTTTTGATCGACATATCCTTTGTTTTGCTAAAAGAGGAAAATAACAAATTCTCTAGGGTAAGATGTTAGTTCTTGGACCACAAATCAAATAAAAAATCAATGTTTAAGCAAACTTCAATATATCATAGTATTGCGAATATTGAAACCCCATTAAAAAAACATAATCTATTTAGCAGCAATGGCATATCATTCTGATGATACATAAAATATGGCAGAAAATATAGTTTGTATAACTTTGTATGGTAATTAAAATTATTAATCAGTCAAATTACAATATTATGATTTAATTTTAGCGACGATCCTTGAGAGTTCTTTTAAATATAACCACCAATGAAACTTAGATCTTTATAAAATCAAGGACAACATATGCCAATAGCTTTCACTGAGAAAACCATGAAAAAAATCTAAAAAGTTGTGTGAATATCAGTCTTCAAAGCAAATAAAAATCAAGATCTAAAGATTGCTCAAAATAAAAAAAGAATTGAAGGCTAATAAAACAGATTCAGATCACAAATGCTAAACAAAGCAATCAGAAACAACATAACAAGAGTCATTTAAGATAAGAGAACCTTAATTGATAAAGAAGAGATAAAACTAGAAGATCCTGAGACATACCTGAAGGGAGGTGCTAAAACCATATCCACGAGAGAGAAGCAAGCAAATGCAAGAGCAGGAAGTCAGTGAGAGCCTGAAACGATTTTGTAGATATATTATGTATATGAATATATCACCCTGGTAGTATTTTAGTTTCCTAATCTCTCCTCGTTGTGAAACTGGAATCCCCATCATGTCCTTCTACTTATTGGTAATATTTTGGTATAATATCGAGGATTTTTAAGTTTTAACTTTGAATTGATGAAAAGAAAAAAGAAAATGGAAATAAAATAAAAATGCATGGAAACAAAAAAATAAATAAATAAATCTCGGCTAGTTCTATATATATATATATATATATATATTTCTCCATGCATTATAGTTTAAGGATTCATCAGCTGCAATGGAGAATATGGTGGGAAAACGAGTGCTGCCAAACGCAGGCCTACAACAACGTCATGTTGCCTGTTCAGTGAGCATGAGAAAACATCTCAACCTGTTTTTTTGGCTTCATATTAGTTTTTTTACCCATGCTACGCTGCAAGGCGGATAGAATACATAAAATTATTTTTAAAAAATTATTTTATTTTGATGTCTCGTGTTATATTGTTCTTCTACCAAAATATATCAAATCAAAATTAAATAAAAATTCATTCAATTTTATAATATTTTAATCAAAATTTTGTATTTGACTAATTATTTTTTATAAATTTTCAATTAAAAAACATTATTTATTTATCTCTACCCACATTCTTAACTAAAAAATTTATAATAATGTAAGAAAAAAATTTCAAAATCAAGGGATTCTTAACTAAAAAACTTATTTTATAAATTATTTTTTTCTAAACATTTTTTTGCCTTAATAATTAAAAAAAAAATCAGAGAAAAAAAGTAAGGACCAAAGTGACTAAAAAAAGGACTAAAATAAAACAAAAAAAATTACGGATCAAAGAAACAATGTTTAAAAAAGAAAATTCTAAGTGTAACATCAAGAAAGCTTTCATAATAAATACTTTTAGAACGTTTGAAAACTATAAAAATATCATTGCATAGTGAAATCAACAGCGCCAATGGTAAACTAATATTCTGCTTTAGTGTTTTTTTTTTTTTAATAGGATTTCCTCTCACATGGGCCAGACTTTTTACTATTTGCTGAAATAGCTTGGCTCACTGGCCTTTTTTCCCCTACAAATCCATCAAGCCTCATCCTCTTGTCTTTCAATGAGCAATAATGACAATTTAACTGGACACCATCCGATCCTATTGGTTGGATTTTAACTGATTTAACCGAGATTAAATTAATTCTGGGTAAAATCTAACTTTGATTTTCATTAGACACCATAACGTTAAAGAAATCTTTAATAACCTTCACATCGGTTGATCACAATTCTAAACCATAGTAATCACAAAATTATCAAATCAACAACTTGAGAAATAAAAAATTGATTAAAAAGTTATTTTAATGTAAAAAAACCAACAAAGAAAAATTGTGACCAAAAGTAAAAAGTTACAAAATAAAAGCAAGTCGTTAAATGCATGTAAAAACCAGTAAATGTCATCTAATAGAGCTGCCTATATCTTCTTCAAAGTATGTAAAAAGAATTGACAATCAAAATAAAACAGATCAAAAGTTGATAAACATATCAAAATCACATATTAGAGTTACAAATGCTAAACAATACAAGCAAGAGCTAAACATCAATACAAATGAACTAAACAAAGATAGTGATTTATAATCATAAAGAGCTAAATAAACTAAAGGAACGATTGAAACTTTAAAAGGAGAGAGGAGGAGCAAACCTGAAGAAAAATGCAAGAACCCTAACTGCGAGAGGAGGATAGAAAGAAGAGAAGCAAGTGCGAGAGTAGTAAGGACACCGATCGGGTTTGCGTTTTTTATACACGCCGGTGGTATTTATCTTTACTAAAATATCCTCGTTTTGAAGTTAGAATTGCCACCGTGTCCTTATACTTTGGTGTTTTAATGGCAAAAATCATCCACGCTGGCGAGATTGCGTCAATTTAAGTATTTTATTACTAATTTAGATCATTTAAGCTTTAAATTATTATTTTTATTTTTTTACATGATAAATTAATCTGTTATGTTATGTCAACTAAAATATTTTTATGCTAACTCTCAAGTTTAATAGAAAAATTAATCCAAATTTTTTTTAAAAAAAAGCCATATTAAAAAAAAATCAAGATTAAAAAAATTGATGAATAAGAAATACAAAGGACCATCTTAAAAAAAAAAAAGAATAGAAGAGTATTTCATGCAATGAATCCTTTTTTGTAATACTTTACAAGATCACACCCTGGAAAAGAAATGCAAATACAAACAAAATATTATTTTGATTGTTAAAAACATTAAAAATTGATAAAATTGATTTGCTAAATTTTATAAAGAGGGCAACTAAGAAATTTAAAAAATAAAAAATAAATCTTTCTTGACACAACAAAAACATCCATAAAAAGAAGATGAAATTCTATTACAGTCATCGAATAATTTACATGATCAAAACCAGGCAGAAGAAAATTTAAAAAAAAAATTACTATTCGAAACTGATATCGTGTATAAATAATTGGAAATATATGTATATGCATACAGAGACAATATAGGAGTGGTGAAACAGAGTAGGCGTAGGGAGTCTCCTCTATCTCGTTATCTACCTTGACAATTGCAAAACGAATCTATGACTCTCTTTGTAACGACGTCGGTTTATCATTTATTCCTATTTTCTCTCTCTTCTTTTCCTTTCTTCCAATTCTGCTTCTTCTTCTTTTTTTTTTTGTTTTTTTCTTTTCTATATTCTCCAAACAAAATAGTGTACCTCTATTATGTCTTTCCACTTTCCAATTTTTTTTAGCATATTCTCGGGTTATATATATATAATTTTACACTCGAAATATATTGTATATCCATATTAAAAAAAAAAACCTGATTTTTTCACAGTTTTAGTTAGATTTGAATTCAAAATTACAAGATAGAAGCAAGTTGAAATAAGAACATTACTTACAACCTAGAGGAAGTCGATTGTTTGTGGAATATACACTAGAAAATGTTCAAGACATTGTTCTATTAAATTCAACGCTGTTATTTTTTTATTTTTGTTTACAGGGAGCTAAGAGAAGAGAAATTTTTACACAATCTGATCCCTATAAACAAAGTCTTCATACAAATTTCCCACCCGTTAGTAGGCCGAGGCAGAATCATTGGAAGAACATTCAGACCCACGTTTCAGAAGTACTGCACACAATTGAAATGATTTGAACAGTAGAAATGATTCAGTAACCAAGTAAAATCCACTTATTATAATTACCTATGGACTGTCTATACATAGAATTCCGAAAATCTATCTCTGACCCAATGCAAGGATGATCAAGTCCTGGTCACGAGAGGGGAATACACCCTTTAAAACAAGCCTTGGCGAAAGAGCTTGAAAGATGTGTCCTGCACTTCAACGGTTTGGCAAATTCCCCACGACCCTTTTGGCGGCTTTTACCTGATCTATTACTGCCATCAACAAGGGGTTTTTCATCAACAGCCAGCACCGCAGTCGGGATCATTGGTGCCGGTGCTTGGCGACTCTGCCTTTTCTTGATATCACTAAGCTCCATTTTTGGTGGAATCTTTGCTAATCCTATCAAGACCTTGTGCTTTCTTGAATTATTACTTGAGTAGTACTGATCCCGGAAACTTCCGGTTGATGGTGGGGTCGGAGAAGGTTTTGCGGTCTCAAATTGAAGTGAATGCGAACGTCTACTTCTGTTCGACGACAAGTGAGCTGAACTATTGAATGGGCTATGAGAGTTTGTTTGATCAGCAGAAGGGTTAGGACTGTTGGCTGATTGTTTTGTCTTGGGGAGTATGTGTCTTCCAAAGAAGATGATGTCTTGTGCAGGATTTGTCTCTGTGTCCTGTTCAGGTGGCAAGAACTCAAAGAAGTCTTGGCTTGAAAAAGAATTTCTTGGTTCTTGATCATCATGATAATAATTGTTGCGTTCAGGTTCTTTTCTGATAAATAATGGAAGATCACCGAAGGAGAGGTCTTGATCAGGCTCTAATTCGCAGTCATGGTGGTAAATGTTGGTGGCGTTTTCCATTTTGTGTGCCTGTAGAAAAAAAACAAATTAACAGAACAAAACAGGTTTTGAAGATGAGGAACACAAAGAGAGATGGCTATTGATGGATTAATTTGCTATGCCGATATCAAAGTATATAAAGGAAGCAGAGAGGGACAATGAGAGGGAGATTTCTTTTTCTTTTTCTTTTTCTTTTTTTCAGGGGAAAGCTCTTATCTAGACATAAGAATATTTTATTTCATTTGATTACATCATTTTTGTTTCTATGGTAATGGAAGGAGTGCTGGGTTGCAGGTTCATTATAAAAAAAAATTACTAATGGAAGAAAGAGAGAAACAATTAAGAAATCTGGTTGTTTGACTCTTTCAGGAACTATATCTGAAAAGAAGCTGTCAAATAGAAATACTCTCTAGATAGACTGAATAGTATGATTAACTAACTTGATATTGATTGTAGCCAATAAATTGGGCTAAACAGCAAAAAAAAAAAAAACAACAATAATAATAATTAAAACTTGAAAGTGATTACTGATAATGACCTCACCTTCTAGAGGGAATAGTAGTAGTCTAGAAATTTTGATTAGTAGGAGAAATATAAGACAAGTTTAGAGTCCTGGATATTTAAAATGCAATTAGATATAATTCTTAAAAAAATGCAATTGCGTGAAAAGATCCAAGATTCCGTGTTAATAAATAAAAGTAAAATTATTGTTACATAAAAAATAAATAAAAATAAAACTAGAAATGACAATGAAAGAAGGATATATGTACATATACTAACACGTGCAATACATAATATTTATTTCTCACGTCATTATTCATTATTAATTCAATTTTGATTTCAATAAAGGGTAAATCTTTTTATAGACATTGCAAATACACTTAAAAATGTTGCAAAATGGATATATTGCTTTTGACAAATGAATATGGTAATATCCGATTGAAAAATCGGTGTTCAACCATTGTTGGTTTTTAATTTTAATTATCATCATCTGGATATTGCTTATTGCCACCAAGATATGGGTTTTAGACAAATAAATATTGTAATATCTTATTGAAACACAAAATATCTTGTCGGAAATTATGTGTTTCAACTAGATATTGTATCTCGTCCCTTATATATTGGCAAAATCTTTTATAATGTTATATAAACACAAATTTTATAAAATTTTCATATAAATAGACGTGATAGTATATATATATATATAATCATTTATTACTATGAGAATCATATTTTACCATCAATCAACTCACACGTCATTTTGTATGGTATTTTATTAAAACAAAAGTCCGTTTCTAAATTATTATTTTCAAACTCGTATTTCATCTTCAATCAATTAATACCTCATCATGTATAGTATTTTAGTATAAAATATTTTATGACTCATATGACATGTAGTAATTATCTCAACTAGCACGTTGGATTATGGGATTACAACATGACATATGCCATATCTATCAAACAAAATTTTCAATTCGCATTATAAACAAACACAATCATAAGACATTGGTTCGTGGTTAAGAAAATTTATTTTATTTTTTATATTCAAATCTTGAAAAATATATATATAGCAATTTATTAAAATTTTAAAAATACATTAAATTTATTGAATGTTTTTTGTAAAATCGTTAGATAAGATATTTAGTTTCGGTTAATATATAAAATGACTCAAAGGAAATTTTTACATAGAATAAAAAAATATATAAATAAAATATAAAATTTAAGCGTATATCGGGTGAATTAATTTTTTTTTAAAAAAAAACCTATGTTCAGCATTTCTCCTATAAAATATGCCAATAAACTTCTGGTAAATTGTAGATGGCATATGGGATACAGAACAAATTAAAATGGGGAAAAACATAATAACGGGGCATTCCGAGAATTGAACTCGGAACCTCTCGCACCCTAAGCGAGAATCATACCACTAGACCAAATGCCCATTTACCCCTTGGGTTCTCGTTATTATATTGTAAATCAAATTAACTGTTGAGTTTAAAGTCTTAAACCCTCCAAATTCAGAACAAGCCCTTGGATATTTCCACTCACAAAGAAAGTCCTGCGGGAATCAAGAACTCAAAGGTTAGCCCAAAGAAATGGCGAGAGGAGCAGTTCTTCTTCACTTGCTTCGATCTCAAACCAAACAATTCTCATCCACCAGAAACTTCCACTCAGGTTCTCTTTTCACTTCCTTTCCCCTATCTAACTCATTGCCTCTTGGGGCTTTCATTTTACGATCTCTATTTGTTTTTTTTTAAAAAAAAAAAAAAAAAGGAAGCACAAATCAATGACTAACTTTATAGCCAAGATGCAATATCTGATCTTTGATTGGAGAAGAAACCGAGTTGTCTAATTCTCGTGGGGTTTTTTGTTCTATAGTGAATAAAGCTGTAATCTTTTGGCAATTGCAAAGATTTTAATTTTCGACAACATAAAGATTTAGAATTAGAAGAGCGTAAAAGACCCATAATTGTTCCTGTGCTTTTAGAGGTTTTGTTGCTTTTTTATTTTATGAAGTGAGCGAGGCTTATGTACAAGTTACAGTGGAAAGATTTCAACTTTTTTATTGGTTCCATGGGAATTTTATATGCGATGCATTTGGGTGGGAACCAGTCTTCAGCTTTGTAGAGTATCCTCAATATCTGAGCATATGTGAACTGTATGCGTATTATCCGAGATGCATTTTTGAATAGTTTGATGTTGCCGGAGTGATGAATATTTGATACGATGAATATTTGATACTTTGGAAGCTGGGAATGTATATGACTTGATGCCTGTTCTTTTGTGATTTTAACTGATTGATGTGCATATTAAGGCGTTACGAAAAAGATTTAGGATCAACCTGTTCACAGGAATTATTCTACTTGTATTTTGTTTTAAGATGGTCTTCCTCAACTGTTCTTTTGTGATTCTTTTCCCTCTGCACCATCTTGCTTTGTCGCAATTTCTGTTCTGTGCTTGCCTAGCCTGAAATATATGCCAGGAATTAATTAAAATTTGAACCATAAAATCATGTCTAGTTTTGCTTGTGGGGACACTTTCTTAATCAGTTAGTGTGTTTGTCGGTCTTTTTTTGTAATACCCCTTGTTGTTTGTGAGATTTTTCTTTCCTTTGAAATGGTTTCATCAAACAACGTCAGGAACGATAAGTCTTCTGCTTTTTTTCTGACTTTATGTTGAAACTTTCATTTGAAAACATGAGGTCATCTTCTGTAAAATTAGATTGTTATTGGGCATATCTGGTCACTAGTTAAGTTCAGTTGTTCGCAGTTACCCTTTGCTTGTTAGTGGGAATCTGCTGTGCCTTATAGCTAAGAATGGACTATATGGCTGAAGGTATTATCTGTTCAGATGAATCCTAGGAGTACCTTTGGCTGTATCCTATATTTTTTTTCCAGCTCTTTTTTAGGTGATTTCAATAAGAGAATGAACTTCTTAGGCTGTCTTGGAACTTTCTGCTAATGCTGTATTCTAACCGAATCAGACTTGACATAATGCTCACTGTCGTGGACTCTGTATTCCAATTCAGTAGCAAACTTCTATTACAGGATCGTAATTTATCATTGATTTCCCTTGATATTGCCTGATGGCAATTTCTACTATGTATATCTGAACCTGTTTGTGGAATGCGCAATGATCTTTGCTCAATTTTTTTCTCTTAAATCCAGAGCATTTATATATATTATATTTATTGTTGATGATGACAGGTCATATTTTGAAGTTTTCGTATTGATTTGCTTCATGAAGATTCTTATTATGAGTCAAACGCAGATTGTTCTTTCTGCGGTTGCATGTTTTTGTGTTTTAGCATTGCCTGTTCTGTAGCGATGTCTGCTTTTGTTTGAAGATGCCAATCAACAAATATAAAACATATTTGCAAAGTTTTTGGGAGCATTTCTACCCTACAGGCTCTTATTGTTATTAATTTTCTCTCTGCTTTAGGTTATCATACTTGTCGGTTCAGCACATGGTCACACAGTCAGTGCGCCAAACCCAACTTCAACCTTGCCACTCTTCTGGCTGCTACTCAGAAAAGATGGGCATCTACAGCCAAAGATGACAATAAAGTCAGCACTGGACCACGCCGAGGGAAGGAAGCTGGAGAAGATGAAAAAGAGACTGGGGTGGTGTATTATGGTCCACTCTCATCCACCATCAAGAAAGTAAAATTGCTCTCTCTTTCAACATGCTGTCTGTCTGTATCCTTGGGTCCAGTCTTAGTTTTTATGACATCTCAAGATTCAAATGTCATCCTGAAGGGGGCAGTTGCATCTAGTGTCATTTTCTTCAGTGCTTCAACCACTGCTGCTCTGCACTGGTTTGTTAGTCCTTACATTCACAAGCTTAGATGGCAGCCTGGCTCAGACAGTTTTGAAGTGGAAATGATGTCATGGTTGGCAACCTACATTCCAAAGACCATCAAGTTTGCTGATATCCGGCCTCCAGAAACCAACAGGCCCATTGTGACATTTAAGGCCAACGGAAATTTCTACTATGTTAATGAAGAGCACTGTCCTAACAAGGCATTGTTGGCTAGACTGAACCCACAGAAATCAGGTCGTGAGTCTGCTTTCAAAAATTTGTGATTGGAAAATACGGTGATTATTGGTCTGCAAGGTTTACCTGAGAACGGCAGGACCTGATTTTACCTGATGGTTTTTGATAAGCTCTGGCCTAGTTTTGAGCCAATGGGCATTTTTTTCGTACCCTTTCTACTTAGCTAGGCTAGGTTGTTTTTGGGAAGGAAAAGAACCAATATTTGAGTTCTGATGTTTTATGTCATGGATAAACTTGAGAAGTTTGCCCTTTTATTTTTTTGGGTAAGAGGAGGGGCCAAAAACCCGAAAACAAACTAAGGACCCTTACAATCATGTTAATCCCATATCAGCCCACAAACATTTCCACGTACCAGTAGGAGGCTCTGCAAAATACACGACGACACGGATTCCTTGATCCGCTCCTGTGTACTATTTGAACCGCAATGATCAACAGTTTTGTCTGGATTTCTTGCTTTCTCTTTGATC